CCCATCTTTGCCTTTGCCCCTGAAACGAGGAGCCGCGGGCCGGCGGCCCCAGGCTGCTGTGGCGCTGACCTGCACCTGGCCGTCCCCGCTGCCACGCTGCAGGGCAGCCGTGGGCCGTCTCCAGGCCGTCTCCAGGCGCCTGTGCTTGGAGCTGCAGGAAGAGCGAGAGCTGCAGTCGAAAACCAAGGCCGTGCTGAAGGAGAACGAGTGAGTGAGGGCAGCGTGCACCGGGCCCCCCCCCCCCCCCCAGAGGGCCCAGGGCAGCCGAGGGCCCTTCCCGTCTGGAGGTGGGGAGTGTGACCTCCGCTGTTCGGCTCTTGACTGTCTTTTTTTTTATTTTTTAAGAATTACTTATTTGAAAGACAGAGTTACAGAGAGAGGTGGAGCCAGAGAGAGAGAGGGAGGTCTTCATTCAGCAGGTTCACTCCCCAAATGACCGCAACAGCCAGAGCTGGGCTGATCCGAAGCCAGGAGCCAGGGGCTTCTTCCAGGTCTCCCACGCAGGTGCAGGGCCCAAGGACTCAGGCCATCTTCCACTGCTTTCCCAGGCCACAGCAGAGAGCTGGATCAGAAGTGGAGCAGCCGGGACTCAAACTGGTGCCCACAGGGGATGCTGGTGCTGCCGTCTGGGCCTTTAACCCACTGCCACAGCGCCGGCCCCTGCACTTGACTTTCAAGATGAATAGGAACTGGCATCCTGGTGCAATGGGTTCACCCGCCGCCTGGGACCTGGCACCCCACATGGGCACTGGTTCAAGTCCTGGGTGCCCCACTGCCAAGTCAGCTCTCTGCTGATCTGTCTGGGAAGCAGTGGACGAGGCCCCAAGTGCCTGGGCTCCTATCGCTCCTGTGGGAGACCTGGATGGAGCTCCTGGCTCCTGGCTTTGGTCTGGCCCAGTCCAGCCATTGCAGCCATCTAGGGAGTGAATTGGAGCATGGAAGATCCCCCTCCCCACTCCGTCTCTCCCTCCCCCTCTCCCCCTCTCCCCCCTCCGTCTCTCCCTCCCCCTCTCCCCCTCTCCCCGCTCCGTCTCTCCCTCTCCCTCTCCCTCTCCCTCTCCCTCTCCCTCTCCCTCTCCCTCTCCCTCTCCGTCTTTCTAATTCTGCCCTTTTTTTAAAAGATCTATTTTACTTACTTGACAGGCAGAGTTACAGGGAAAGATGGAGAGAAAGATCTTCCATTTGCTGGTTCAAATGGCTGCAATGGCCAGGGCTGGGCCAGGCCAAAGCCAGGAGCCAGGAGCCAGGAGCTTCTTCCTGGTCTCCCATGTGGGTACTGGGCGGGCCACCTGGTCCAGGGCCGCTGGCGGGAGTCCTGGAGCCCTGCAGCCCAGGCGAGCAAGCAGCAAGTCCCAGCTCAGAGCCAGACCAGGCGGCTTCTGCGTCTCTTCTCTCCGATCCCTGCCTGGGGCGCGCAGACTCGCACACTGGCCTTGCCTGGAGACAGCAGAAACAAGGCCTGCCCGGCCTCGAGGCGCTCCCTGCCCAGCCCAGCTGGTGCCTGGAGAGCCCGCGGCAGACGCCCCCTGGGGCCTCCGGCAGTATCCTGCCTTCACTTCTAGGAGGCACCCAAAGGAAAGCCCCCCAGGGATGAGTGCTGCTTAGCCCAGGCGAGTTCTCTCTGAGGGTGACCCTCACGAGCCCTGCGCAGGGTGGGCGAGATAGTTCCCTCCAGGGACGTGCCGCCCGTCGGCCGAGGCAGGAAGCGGTGGCAGCCGTGCGAGCTGGCATGTCGGCCACAGATCTGGACTCGGCTCTGGTTTCCAAGGAGCCAGCCACCCAGAGTCAGCGCAGGGAGGAGCGGAGTTCTTGGGCAGAGCACGGCGGGCGTCGTGGCACGGCAATTAAGCCGCAGCTTGGGGGTGCACGTTTCCCGTACCAGAGTACTGGGGTGCGTCCTGGCCGCTCTGCCTCCCATCCAGCTCCCTGCTAAAATGTACCTGGGAAGCACCAAGTGATGGCCCAAGTGCTGGGGTCGCTGCGACCCACGTAGGAAACCCAGATGGAGTCCCAGGATCCCGGGTTCAGCCTGGCTCAGCCCTGGCCGTTGCGGCCATCTGGGGAGTGGACCAGCAGACAGAGATCTCTGTGTTTCCACCTCTGCCACTTGCCTTTCAAATAAACAACTAAGAACTCAAAGGGGTCAGCGCCGTGGCATAGTAGGCTGAGTCTCCACCAGTGGTGCCGACATCCTATGTGGACACTGGTTCATGTCCTGGCTGCTCCTCTTCCAATCCAGCTCCCTGCTAATGGCCCGGGAAAGCAGTGGAAGTGGCCCAGATGTTCGGGCCCTGTACCTGTGTGGGAGACCCAGATGAAGCTCGTGGCTCCTGACTTCGGGTTGGCCCCACTCTGGCCATTGTGGCCTTCTGGGGAGTGAACCAAGAATGGAAGATCTTTCTCTCTGTCTCTCTCTTTCTCTGTAACTCTTCCTCTCAAATAAATAAATCAATATTTAAAAAAAAAAAGTTACAATAAACCAAGAGGGGGTCGGCACTGTGCACTGTGGAGTAGCAGGCTAAGCCTTCACCTGTGGTACCAGCATCCCATATGGATACTGGTTCTTGTCCCGGCTGCTCCTCTTCCGATCCAGCTCTCTACTTATGGCCCAGGAAAGCAGTAGAACATGTTCCAAGTGCTTGGGCCCCTGCACCCATATGGGAGGCCTGGAAGAAGCTCCTGGATCCTGGCTTCATGCTGGCCCAGCTCCAGCTGGTGCAGCCATTTGGGGAGTGAACCAGTGGATGGAAGACATTTCTCTTTGTCTCTCCTTCTCTCTGTAATTCTGCCTTTCAAATAAATAAAGAAAAACTTAAAAAAAAAAAAAGGCACCAAGAAGACAGTACAAGAAAGGAAAAACTGGGCCACTCACCTGGGAAATGGGTGAAAATCCTACAGAAGACGTTCAGCCCGGCTTAGCCACGTGTCTGCCACAGGCACGGGCAGGCACACACACAGCTTAGAAACCCAAAAGAAACTCAGCATTAGAAATTGAAAGTCAGAGTGACACAGACTTCAACCTCCAGTCTGCTGGGTCACTTCCCCAGTAGCTGAGCTGGGTCAGGCCAAAGCCAGGAGCCCGGAGCTCCACCCAGGTCACCCACCTGGGGAGCAGGAACCAGGCTCACAGGTGCGTCAGCAGGGGGTGGAGCAGCTGGGACTCACCAGCGCCCCCATGTGAGATGTCAGTGCACAGACGGCCACTTGATCCACTGCTCCACAACGGCCCCCCCCTTAGAAACAGCACGAGCGTGTTAGAGGGGAGAAGCCGTGAACTTCTGGTTAAACACAGACTTGTGAGTTTTATACAGTGTGAGACACGGTTTTCTAGGGGGCCGGGGTGTAGGGACCACAGCGGGGGTCGTGGAGCAGGGAGAGACTGACTCAGCTCCACGTTCATGATTTTGTTCTAAAAAACGCTGAAAAATGGGGCTGGAGGGACATTTCCACACCACGGCTAAGCCCGGGGGCTGCAGCGAGCACTGTGCTGTGTGCGTCTGAGGCATCGTCCTGGGGTCCTGCAGCCGCTGTGGCCAGCTCTGGCCCGAGCCCAGACAGCACTGGGCCAGGCCCCGGGAGCGGCTGGTCCGCACTGGTCCCTGCCCAGCGTCTGTCCAGCTGGAAGCTCTCAGCTGACCTTGGCTGCAAAGCCGCCATGGTGGGCGTGGCTGCGGGGTGCCCGTCCTCGGCGGGGGCCCTCTTGGCCTCAGTGCCTCGCTGCAAAGGCGGGGCTCATCCCCACGTCCGAGGCCACCACAGACACCGCACGGCCATCAGTCCAGCACGGAGTCACCTGGGGCTGGGGCAGTTACCTCCTTCGGCCTAGACAGGCACCGCCCTGGGCAGGGCTGGCCGGCCCTGTGCCCCTAAGTGCGTTTGAAGACCGGCGGGTGGTCTCTGATGCCTCTGGCAAAGCTCCCACCACCATCAACTCTCCCCAAGTGCCTTCCCCGGCTGGGCAGAGGCTGACCATGATTGGCTGGCCCAGTCCCGTGCCAGGTGGGTGCCCATGGGCACACAGGAAGTGCAACTGGGCTCAAGGCCTGCCGGACTCAAGTTGATGGTGGTCTTACTAAACTAGGCAGGGTGGGAGACCCCAGTGTCCAGGTGCCCTTGGTGGAGGGAGCTGACCCCTCAGTGCCGTCCACCGTCCACCACCCGGGGCTTGGCTGCCACCACGCCCGGCCCCTGACAGATGCGTGGAGAGGGCGGGGCCCCAGGTCCCCAGCCCCTTTGCCCCCATGAGTGACAGGTGGCTCGTTTCCCAGGCATTCTCTGTGGCACATTGAGATGGAGGAGGGGCGGTTCGAGGACGCCTGGAAGCCCTACCAGGAGCAGGCCAAGGCCGCGGAGCGGTTCCGTGAGGCGCGTGGGGCCCAGCAGCTCCGCAGGGAGAAAGAGGCCTTGGGCAAGGCGGAGAGAGACCAGCTGCTGAGGGTCCGGTGCGTGGCTCCAGGCCCTGCCCCCGCCTCGGCTTCCACGCCTGTCCAGCGTCAGCGCCCCGAGCACTGGCCTCCGTGACAGTCACCCAGGAGGCACTAAGGCCAGCAGACCCTCGACCCCAGCCAGGCTGCACTCCGTGGTCCACCCCGAGTCTGACACATCCCCAGTGGCACTGTCATCTGCTCTGCTGCTGGCCAGGACCCAGGGCTCCCCACCCTGAAGGGGCCTCTTCCTCTGGACCTGGGCCCCTGCCCGGCCTGCCCTGCGCTCTGCCACTACGCCCGCTGCCCATCTCTGGTGGCTGCCCAGGTGCAGAACCCGGGTCCTTGTGGCCCCTGCATCCCACCAGTTCCAGCCCATTGCCAGGTCTCTGCTGCTGCCTGTGGCCTGTAGGCCCCGGCTGTGACCCTTACAGGGTCCCTGGCCCCCGCTCCTTCCCGGTCCTAGGTCTCTTCCCATCTCCGCCCCCAGACCCCTGCCCATCTGGGTCAGCCTCTGGCAGCTTCCTCAGCACCGGCCCCCTCACTAGCCCCTCGTTGGCGCCCCACCCCGGGGCCGTGTCCCCCCGGGCCTCAGTGGAGCCCTGGCCGGGCCCTGAGAGCGCAAGCCCTTGGCACAGCTCCGTGACACACGTCTGGCTCTTGCCGCAGGCGATCCCTGCACACCCAGAAGGAGCGCGGGCTCCGGCACCAGCAGCTGGTGGAGGCCGCGCAGAGGAGCCACCGGGCCGCCGTGGGCTTCCTGAAGGCGTCGTTGGGAAGGTGGGCGCCCGCATCGCCGCCCTGCCCACACGAGAGCCGCCTGCGCACTTACAGAGCCCCTGAGCCACTGTCATGCCGCCACGGGGCGGGGGCATGAGTGCCTGGGTTCAAGTCCCAGCTCCACTCCTGGTTCCAGCTTCCCACCCCTGCAGAGCCCGGGAGGCAGTGGGGACAGCGCTGGTGATTGGGCTCCTGCACCCGCACCAGCTCCCAGCTCTGCCCTGGCCCGGGCCCATCTCCAGCTGTTGCGGGCACCTGGGGAGTGAGCGGTCACGGGGAGCTCTGTCCGTCTGCTCCCCGCCTCCCGCGCTGCCTCACTTCCTGGCCAGATCCCAAGCTCAGTGTCGCTGTTTGCAGAAGAGGCCTTGGCACCGTGGGAACCTCCAGAGCTGGGGACTGGCTTTCCAGCCAGTCGGTGACCCCGGCCGGGGGCCTCTCCCAGGCTGCCTTGCCGGAAATGGCCCTGGGGCTCTGCACAGGGCCTTGGCGGTGCCACCAGCTGCCCTGGTTAAAAGCTGGCTTCCCTGCAGAGTCCGGGAGCGGGAGAGGCAGCAGGAGCTGGAGTGCCGTGAGCACCTGCAGCGGCGCATGGACGCGGTGCTGGCGCTGAAGAACAGCATCGCCGCCAACCGGGTAGGCAGCGCCTCGCCTCTGAGTGTCTGCCGTGGGCAGTGGAGCCAGTTCTGCAGCACAGCCCCGTGGGGATGGGAGGGTCTTGAGTGGAGGAGGAGTCGGGCTGTGTAGCGTGGAGGGCATGGGCTCTGCAGGCGTCAGCGTCGATTGAAGATGCCCTCAAAGGGGAGACCAGTGCTTGTGTGTGCGTGTGTGCAAGCCTGCGTGAGCGCCTGGCAGGCAGCAGAGGGAGCCCAAGTGCTTGGGCCCCTGCACCCACCTGGGAGACCCGGGAGAAGCTCCTGGCTCCTGGCTGCAGATCGGCCATTGTGGCCATCTGGGGAGTGAACCAGTGGATGGAAGATCTTTCTCTTTCACTCGCTCACTCTGTCTGTCTCTCTCTCTCTGTATAACTCTGCCTTTCAAATAAATAAATTGTTTTTAAAAAACATGCATGAGTGTGTACATGTGTGTGAGTAAACATGAGTGTGTGCACGTTGAGCATGAGTGTGTGCACATGGGTGCGAGCATGAGTGCACATGTGTGTATGTGCGTGCACTGTATGTGTGAGTTTGAGTATGTGCACATGTGTGAGCGTGTGTGCATGTGTGTGCAATGTGTGTGTGAGCATGAGTGTGGGCACGAGTGCACATTGAGCATGTGTGCACGTGTGTGGGCATGCGTGTGCATGTGTGAGCATGAATGTGAACACGTGTGAGGATGAGAAAGCATTGTGCACATGTGTGAGCATGAGTGTATGTGTGCATGCATGTGAGCATGAGTGTGCACATGTGTGAGTGGCCATGTGTATGCACATGTGAGCACACGTGTGAGCACAAGTGTGCGCTGTGAGCATGAGTGTGCATGTGTGAGAGCATGAGTGTGGGCACGTGTGCACACGTGTGTGCAGCCAGCATGTGGGCTGCTGCCGCCGCCTCAGAGACCCCCGCTTCTCAGGAGACGCTGCGGAAGTTCCACGCCTGGGGCCAGGCCAGGGCGGAGGAGGCGGCGCGGAAGGCGCAGGCGGAGGAGGAGGCCGTCCGGGCGCAGGGCGGCGACGCCTTCAAGCACCTTGCCCACCAGCGCCGTCGCCACCAGCTGGAGGCCCAGCGGCGGTGAGGCCCGCGAGCCCAGGCTCCGCGCCTGCTCCACCTTGGCCCCGGCCAGGCCCCGACACGCACTCCCGTGCCCTCCACAGCCCTGCCTGCCCCTCCCCTCTGTCCCTCTCTTCCTTCCAGCCCCCGGCACCCCCCAGGAGCCGGCTGTTCCGGGCTGGTTTCTCAGGAGGAGCCCCGGGCTGCAGCTGGATCCCGGGGCGCTCAGGCCCAGCCTTCCCGGGCCTCCTTGGGAGCCTGGTGCCCGGGACATGGGCTTCATCACTCCCGTGTCCAGTGGGTCCCTCCGGCTGCCTCTGCTTCTTTGGGGGCCGCCATGGACTCGCCCATAACCCCGGCCTCTCCTTTGCTTTCTCGTCCCCCGGGAGGGTGGACTTCCCGAGATCCATACCCGAGAGCAGGGCGTCCCACAAGGCCGCCTCTCCCACCTCGCTCCGGCCCCTTCCCCACTTGGCACACGATGTTCTGGAAACTTCCATGTGAACCTCCTCCCAGTGCCCTCATCCTGGGGGCCTGTCCTTTTCTGTCACTGCTCAGGACCTGCCCAGGTGTGGCCTCCTGCCCTCTGGCGCCACTCAGTGTCTCCCACCGTCACACCTGTCTGCCCATCCACCTTGTCGGGGCTCCTGGGGCAGCCTCACCGACCTCACCTGTCCCCTGACGTGGCGCCTGGGAGGGGCCCAGTGAGGAGCGGCTGGAGGAATGAGTGACGGCCGCGATGCCCGATGCCCCTGCCTCACCGGGGCACCTCCACCCCCAGCCGGGAAGCGCGGGTGGCGGCACAGGCTGGCTCCTCCCTGCGGTAGCCGGTTCCGTCCTCTGCTCCCACCCCAGAGCCCTGCTGGGCTGCACCCGAGCCACCCTGGACCCCAGCAGCCGCCAGGGAGGCCCGGCTCTGCCCCTGACAAGCGCCCCCCACAGGGCCTTTGAGGAGGAGCAGAAGCTGCGCACGCGCGAGATCGTCAGCCGGATTTTGAAAGAGGAGGCCGGGGAGGAAAACCGGAGGAAGAACCCGCAGCAGGCCGTCCACACCGGCAAGCGGCGGACCCTGCGGGACAGGACCTGGCGCTACGTCTCCGACCTCGCCGAAGGGAAGCCCGTGGCCCAGAGCACCTGCGGCGCGCTGGTGAGCAGGGCCTGTCCCAGGGCACGCGGGCGGGAGGGTCCCCAGGGCTCGGTGTGCCGCGGCCTCACCCAGGGGAGCGTCCCCGGCACACCCACCGAGGCCGCGTTCGGCACAGCACACTGGCCCCGACGCAGCTCGGGGACGCTGAGGTGGGCACAGCTCCCCGGCCGGCCGGCAGCCTCCCTGTCCCTCACGGCCCTCGCTCAGCCACAGCCCCCCACTCAGCCCAGCACTCAGCCACTCACGCAGCCCTCCTCTCTCTCTCTCTCTCTCTCTCTCTCTCTCTCTCTCACCAGCGGCCCCCTCGGTGCCGCTTGCCCTGTGCCAGCCTGTTGCTAGCCCCCCTTTCCCTGAGAGCTGGGACAGGAATGCGGGCCCCTTCCTGAGTCCGGGTGGGGCCAGCCCTGCCCTCGGGTGCCCCCGGCCTGCAGGACAAGTCCCTGGCTGCAGCACCGCCCCCACCACCGCCCCCGTCGCACAGGGCCTTTGCACCCCCCACTCTCCCTGGATCCCCCACCCCCTGCACCGCTGCCCCCACCGCTCCCGCTGGTTCTGTTGAGGCCTCACTCCTTGTCCATGGCCCATGATGCACCCCACGGTGTCCCACAGCCCCGCTTCTCCCACAGCACCACAGCCCCGCTTCTCCCCACAGCCCAGCTTCTCCCCACAGCCCCGCTTCTCCCACAGCCCCGCTTCTCCCCCACAGCCCCGCTTCTCCCCACAGCCCCGCTTCTCCCCCACAGCCCCGCTTCTCCCCCACAGCCCAGCTTCTCCCCACAGCCCAGCTTCTCCCACAGCACCACAGCCCCGCTTCTCCCCACAGCCCAGCTTCTCCCACAGCACCACAGCCCCACTTCTCCCCACAGCCCAGCTTCTCCCACAGCACCACAGCCCCACTTCTCCCCACAGCCCCGCTTCTCCCACAGCCCCGCTTCTCCCCACAGCCCAGCTTCTCCCCACAGCCCCACTTCTCCCCCACAGCCCCGCTTCTCCCCCACAGCCCCCACTTCTCCCCCACGGCCCAGCTTCTCCCCCACGGCCCCCTTCTGCAAGGCTGGCACAGAGCCAGAGCAGAGCAGGCCCACGCCCCACAGCCGCTGTTTCGTGGCAGTGAGAATGAGAGGCTGCGTGGGGGGCTGAGGACCGAGGGGGGCGCTGTGCGTGTCCGTTGGTTACTTCCCGGAAGCGAGAACACTTATGGGCTCTTTTTGAGTGTTATAAAACATATTTTAAGTAGAAAATGTTGTAAAACTGATTTCCATGTGAAGAATTAAAAACGCGAGAAAGAGGGGGCCACTGGGCTAGAGCCCTGTGGACTTGAGAGAGAGAGAGAATCTTCCATCCACTGGTTCACTCCCCAGATGGCCACAGCTGCGAGCAGGGCCTCCGCCCTCTGCCCTCCGTCCCCCGCCCTCCGCTCTGCCCCCCCGCCCCTGCCCTCCGCCCTCCAACCTCTGCCCCCCCACCCCCCACCCCCGTGTCGCCTCTGCAGGAGAGCGCTGCCGCGGCTCCCGAGCCTGCCTTGGTGAAGGCCACCTCCAGCGAGTCCGTGCAGGGGGAGCCTGGCACCACCAACCCGGAGGAGGAGACGCTGGCAGAGCCTGAGATCCCGGGGCTGTGGAAGGAGGACTCCAAGCCGTACCAGGTAGCGGCGGCGCCCGGGGGTCCTCACCCACCCTCGCCCGCTGCCGGCCCCTCCCCAGGCAGCTCTCCCTTGGGCACAGGGCCTCAGGGCGCCCTCTGGTGTGCGGCCAGGAGGACAGAGGGCCCCGGGGAGTGGCTCTGCGTCTCTGCTCAGGGCCAGGGAGAGGTAGATGAGCTCAGAGCCAGGGGCACTGCCCAAGAGACAAGCCCTCAGGGAGAGAGGAGGGCGTCCCTGCCCGCCTGGGTGTTTGCTGGGACTGACCAGGGCCGCGAACGAGACAGGCTGCCCAGCTCTGGTCCCGGCGGGGAGGCGCTGGGCACGAGGGGCCGCCCGTGCCAGCCCAGCAGGCTGCCCACGCACCGAGAGCCAGCGAGGACGCCGCCCGCCGTCCAGGCCCGGCACCAGTGCCGCCCGAGCGCCTTGCTCCGGGAAAGCACGCGGTGGCTTCGCCGTGGCTGGCGTCGCTGGCCGTGCGCCCGTGCTGGCCGTGCGGCTTTATCTGGGCTGCTCCTCCGCTGGAGACTGCCGCAGAGCGCCTCAGGACTCTCGCGTCCTGTTCTCAAATCGTGCCAGAGTACCTTCTCTACAGTTTTATTCGTTTGAAAACCAGACACAGGGAGAGCTCCCACCGCTGATTCACTCCCCAAAAGCCTCCAAAGCCCAGTCTGGGTCTCCCACGCGGTGGCAGGAACCCAGCACCCCGCCATCACCTGCTGCCTCCCAGGGAGCTCACCGGCAGGAAGCTGGATCACAGGCCGAGCCGGGACTCAAACCCGGAACTCTGATACAGGACGCGGTGTCCAGGCGCCGTCCAGCAGAGGGCCCCCTGCCCGGGCACTCCCCCCCCCCCGCCCTTCCCACCCAGGCTCTGAGCTTTGGCGTCACTTCACCGCCGCTGCGCTCGCCTGTGACGAGCCTGGGCCTCTGTCTCTGTGACCCCGAGGTGCCCAAGGAGGAGGTGGAACGGAAGCCCCCGGGCGGGACCAAGATGGAGAAGGACATCCTGGCGCGCACGCTGCAGCGGCTGCGGGAGGGGCTGGTGCACAGGCAGGTGGTGTCGGGGCGCGAGTTCACGGGCCGCCCCTTCAACAGCAAGCCCGAGCTCATCCACTTCCAGGTGAGCCCTCCCCCGCGGCCCCGCCTCTGGCTGGTGAGCCCTCCCCCGCGGCCCCGCCTCTGGCTGGTGAGCCCTCCCCCGCGGCCCCGCCTCTGGCTTTGTGCCAGCTGTGGGGGACAGACGAAGGGCAGACGTAGCCCCAAGGAGCGCCTCCCGGTTAGGGGGCTGCGGCCCTCAGCGCTGGGCGTCCTGGGACGGGGATGTGGCCAGGCCCCTGCCGATGAGCAGAGCCCACCCGCCCGTGAGGTGGCCCCTCAGCAGTCCAGCCCCCAGGACCTGAGGCCCAGGTCCAGGTCCCGCTTGCCACAACCGCCGGACCCAGCCAGGGGGACCATCTGGCAGCTCCTGGAACCTCACCCTGCCCTTGGTCCCTGGCCCCATTTCCCGAGCCCTTGGTCAGCCCCCAGACAGCACCGGCGCATCCTGCCTCTGGGGGCCCCTCTCAGCTCTGGAAGTGGCCAGCCCAGCACCTCTCGGCCCCTGGTGCCCAGAGCTGCGGCTCCCACGGGCCCGGCCCCACCCGAAGCCGCTCATCATGACCCCCACTTCTCTAGGACTTCGATGTCGGCAAAGTGTACAAGAAGAAGATCACGCTGGTCAACGCCACCTACACCATCAACTACTGCCGGCTGCTGGGCGTGGAGGAGCAGCTGAGGGACTTCATCCACGTCGAGTGAGGGCCCGGGGCTGCCTGCCGCTCACAGGGCTGCCTGCGCAGCGGCGGCCCCGCTTTCTGGTCTGCTTTGGAGGGCGGCTCCTGTGGCTGTGTGAGGCGGCGGCCCCTCTGCCTGGGGGCCGGGTGCTGGCACACAGGTGTTGCCTGGCTGCTGTTTGAGCCTTGTTCGCGGCCCCGCGAGGCGCTGGGTCTTGGCTGGTTGCGAGGTTTGTCGTCTCCTCGCTGGCTCCCTGTCACACGTTCTTCTTTCCTGTTCTGCTCTTTCCCTCAATTTCTCAGGACAGGGCTGTCTAGGGAGACAGAGAGGCAGGCTGTGGGCACAGAGATGGGAAGGGGACTCGGTAGGAGACCGGCAGCTGAGAAACCCGGGCAGGCCATCTGCAGGCCGAGACCCCGGGAGGCCTCAGACCAGGGAAGCCGAGGGCGGGCCTCCTGGTCCAGGGCCGCTGGCGGGAGTCCTGGAGCCCTGCGGCCCAGGCGAGCAAGCAGCAAGTCCCAGCTCAGAGCCAGACCAGGCGGCTTCTGCGTCTCTTCTCTCCGATCCCCGCCTGGCGCGCAGACTCGCACACTGGCCTTGCCTGGAGACAGCAGAAAGAAGGCCTGCCCGGCCTCTAGGCGCTCCCCGCCCAGCCCAGCTGGTGCCTGGAGAGCCCAAGGCAGACGCCCCCTGGGGCCTGCTCTTCCTTCGTGGCCTGCCGGGCTCCGGGGGCAGTGTGGAGGCCCAGGGCGGTGGAAGACTCAGGGCAGGTGCCTGTGTCCGTGTGTGACCGGCCATCTCTGAAGCAGGGATCGCGGGGAACAGCAAGAGCAGAGTCCTCACTGTCCCTCACCGCCCAGCACCAGTGAGGCCCCGCCCCTCCCCCAAGGCCACTCCCGTGGGGCTGGGCCCCCCATGGCTGAGCTGACTCATGGGCACTCTTCCTGGGGCTGAGGTCAGCTGGAGGATCCCAGGCCCCTGCTGACCCCTGGGTCTCCGGACTTCCAGCTCCTGCAGAGGCAGGGAGCGCGCCATGCTGGCAAAGGCCCAGTCAAGGTCTGGTGCCATCTTCTGGTGCTGCTGCAGGCGTGGCCGCCCGTGGCCCACTCCCTGTCCTGGCCGTGCTGCAAGCGTGGCCACCTGTGGCCCACTCCCTGTCCTGGCCGTGTTGGAGTTGTGGCCGCCCATGGCTCACTCCCTGTCCTGGCCATGTTGGAGGCATGGCCGCCCGTGGCCCACTCGCTGTCCTGGCCGTGTTGGAGTTGTGGCCGCCCATGGCCCACTCCCTGTCCTGGCCGTGTTGGAGTTGTGGCCGCCCATGGCCCACTCCCTGTGCTGGCCGTGTTGGAGGCATGGCTGCCCGTGGCCCACTCCCTGTCCTGGCCATGTTGGAGGCGTGGCCGCCCATGGCCCACTCCCTGTCCTGGCCGTGTTGGAGGCGTGGCCGCCCGTGGCCCACTCCCTGTCCTGGCCGTGTTGGAGGCGTGGCTGCCCATGGCCCACTCCCTGTCCTGGCCGTGTTGGAGTTGTGGCCGCCCATGGCCCACTCCCTGTCCTGGCCGTGTTGGAGGCGTGGCCGCCCGTGGCCCACTCGCTGTCCTGGCCGTGTTGGAGTTGTGGCCACCCGTAGCCCACTCCCTGTCCTGGCCGTCCTGCAGGTGTGGCTGCCCATGGCCCACTCCCTGTGCTGGCCGTGTTGGAGTTGTGGCCGCCCGTGGCCCACTCGCTGTCCTGGCCGTGTTGGAGTTGTGGCCACCCGTGGCCCACTCCCTGTGCTGGCCATGCTGCAGGTGTGGCCGCCCGTGGCCCGCTTGCTCTAGTTATCTGTGTAGTTTCTGGAAGATGGGTGAAGAGGCTTCTAAAAGGCCATGGAAATTGTAATTAAGAGGTAATACAGGTGGGTTTGTGGCCACGTTCTATATCGGTGTCTGGGTTCAAGTCTCCGCTCTGACTCTTGATTCCAGCCTGCTGCCGAGGCACTCCCTGGGAGGCACGGGGGTACCCGGTAGCTGCGTCCCTGCCTATCACGTGGGAGGCCTCGATGGAGCTCCCCGCCCTCCACGACTGCAGACGTTTGCGGCATGAAGCGGCCTATGGGAGGGCTCCCTCCGTCTCCCCCAGTCTCTGTCTCTTTGCCTCCCAAATCAGTAGGATGTTTTAAAAATTTTAAAGATAATGTGAGTTTCCCTTGAATGTCAGCTGCTATGTGCGTGTGTGTGGCGCTCGGTGTCTACACTGCTGTGTGTGTGCGTGTGTGTGGCGCTCGGTGTCTACACTGCTGTGTGTGTGTGGTCCTCAGTGTCTACACTGCTGTGTGTGCGGTGTGGCCCTCGGTGTCTACACTGCTGTATGTGTGTGGCCCTCAGTGTCTACACTGCTGTGTGTGTGTGGTGTGACCTTCGGTGTCTACACTGCTGTGTGTGTGTGTGGCCCTCAGTGTCTACACTGCTGTGTGTGCAGTGTGGCCCTCGGTGTCTACACTGCTGTGTGTGTGTGGCCCTCGGTGTCTACACTGCTGTGTGTGTGTGTGGCCCTCGGTGTCTACACTGCTGTGTGTGCGGTGTGGCCCTCGGTGTCTACACTGCTGTATGTGTGTGGCCCTCAGTGTCTACACTGCTGTGTGTGTGTGGTGTGACCTTCGGTGTCTACACTGCTGTGTGTGTGTGTGGCCCTCAGTGTCTAACTGCTGTGTGTGTGTGTGGCCCTCGGTGTCTACACTGCTGTGTGTGTGTGTGGCCCTCGGTGTCTACACTGCTGTGTGTGTGTGTGGTCCTCAGTGTCTACACTGCTGTGTGTGTGTGTGTGGCCCTCGGTGTCTACACTGCTGTGTGTGCGGTGTGGCCCTCGGTGTCTACACTGCTGTGTGTGCAGTGTGGCCCTCGGTGTCTACACTGCTGTGTGTGCAGTGTGGCCCTCAGTGTCTACACTGCTGTGTGTGTGTGGCCCTCGGTGTCTACACTGCTGTGTGTGTGTGTGTGGCCCTTGGTGTCTACACTGCTGTGTGTGCGGTGTGGCCCTCGGTGTCTACACTGCTGTGTGTGCGGTGTGGCCCTCGGTGTCTACACTGCTGTATGTGTGTGGCCCTCAGTGTCTACACTGCTGTGTGTGTGTGGTGTGACCTTCGGTGTCTACACTGCTGTGTGTGTGTGTGGCCCTCAGTGTCTAACTGCTGTGTGTGTGTGTGGCCCTCGGTGTCTACACTGCTGTGTGTGTGTGTGGCCCTCGGTGTCTACACTGCTGTGTGTGTGTGTGGTCCTCGGTGTCTACACTGCTGTGTGTGTGTGTGTGGCCCTCGGTGTCTACACTGCTGTGTGTGCGGTGTGGCCCTCGGTGTCTACACTGCTGTGTGTGCAGTGTGGCCCTCGGTGTCTACACTGCTGTGTGTGCAGTGTGGCCCTCGGTGTCTACACTGCTGTGTGTGTGTGGCCCTCGGTGTCTACACTGCTGTGTGTGTGTGTGTGGCCCTTGGTGTCTACACTGCTGTGTGTGTGTGTGGCCCTCGGTTTCTACACTGCTGTGTGTGTGTATGGCCCTCAGTGTCTACACTGCTGTGTGTGTGGCGCTCGGTGTCTACACTGCTGTGTGTGTGTGTGTGTGTGGCGCTCGGTGTCTACACTGCTGTGTGTGTGTGTGTGTGGCCCTCGGTGTCTACACTGCTGTGTGTGTGTGTGTGGCCCTCGGTGTCTACACTGCTGTGTGTGCGGTGTGGCCCTCGGTGTCTACACTGCTGTGTGTGCGGTGTGGCCCTCGGTGTCTACACTGCTGTGTGTGTGTGTGTGTGGCCCTCGGTGTCTACACTGCTGTGTGTGTGTGTGTGTGTGGCCCTCAGTGTCTACACTGCTGTGTGTGTGTGGCCCTCGGTGTCTACACTGCTGTGTGTGTGGTGTGGCCCTCGGTGTCTACACTGCTGTGTGTGTGTGGTGTGGCCCTCGGTGTCTACACTGCTGTGTGTGTGTGTGTGTGGCCCTCGGTGTCTACACTGCTGTGTGTGTGTGTGGCCCTCGGTGTCTACACTGCTGAGTGTGCGGTGTGGGCTGGTTTTCATAACTCTGTGCTGTCGATCTGGAGACGGATCTTGTACAGTCTTGGTTTCTCAGCCTCCGCCCCCGTTCTCGGGCTGTGCCCCCAGCCCCTCCGCCCCTCCAGCTGAGCCCTCTGCTCTGCCCTCCACCCGACACCGACCGTGACCTTCCTCTGTGTCCCCTGGCGTGCTCTCCGGGGCCACTTTAGCCGCGGGCATCGGCCCCTGAGGGCTCCGAGTCTCAGCTCGGCTGCCGTATGTCTCATTTCTGAACACCTGAGTCCGGACAGCGGGGCCTCCGCCCGGCCGTCCCAGCGTCTGGCCTTTGTGGGCGGCGTGCGTCCCCGACTTCTCGCTCCCGCTGGTGCCCTGGGACGTTGCTGGCTGGGGGCAGCTTCCAACGTCATCTGTTCGCTGTGCCTGTCTGAACCACGCCCGAGAGGCCATGTCCACCTTGCAGACACGGGCTCCGAGTTGGGAATTCCCTGGGGAGATGCCGTCGGCCCCTCCGGTCCCCGTGTGCAGTCGGGCTGCTTTTCTGGGTCTCTCCCAAGCAGGACTCGGGCCCTGTGGCTCTCAGTTCCCCTCCCTCCTGTGCTCCTGCCCGGGGCCCCACCTCCTGACCCCGAGCCTGGCGTGTGCCCGGGCCTCTGCTGCCCCACCTCACGCCGACACCCCCAGAGCTGCCCCCGCAGACCTGCCGCGTCTGTTCCCTCCGTCACTCGCTCTTTCTCGGCAGCCATCCTGGTGTCACTCGGGCATCTCTGTCCTGGCCCCGGGGGCAGCCGGGAGCTCAGCAGAAGCAGAGGGCACCTCGGGGTGGCCACGGGCAGGGGCGTGTGCCCAGGACAGACGGAGGGAGGGAGCCCCACGGGCCTGGCAGGCCACCGTGCAGGGTGGTGAGCGCCACCTCCCCCCTTACCTGCAGCTTCGACCCCCCGGGCCCCATGTCGGCTGGGATGTCCTGTGAGGTGTACGTCACCTTCAAGCCCATGGTGAGTCTCGGCTTCCTGTCGGGGGGGGCTGTCGGCAGGTGTAGGCAGCCCCTGGCTCACTGGAGATGAGTGCAGCTCCTCATCCTGCCACACTCAGGACCCACCAGGGTCTAGAATGTTCCAGCAGGCCCTGCCTGCACAGCCCCCCCCCCCGGGCCCCGCCCTGGCGAGCAGAGGCTATGGCGGCTGGGGGTGGGGGGTGTTTCTCTTCTCTTCTCTTTTTAGATAAATAAGGATCTGGAAGGAAATGTCTCGTTTCTGGCTCAGACGGGCGGATTTTCTGTCCCACTGAAATGTTCCACCAAGAAATGCTCCGTGAGTCCCCTCGGCCGCTCTGCCCTCCCCCCGCAGCCGGGCCCCGAGCCTTCCCGTCAGAGGGGCCCCAGGGCTGTAGGAGAAACCGCCTGGGGCAGCCGCAGAGGGCAGCCTGCCTCCGACCCCATGGCCAGAGGGCCGCCCAGGAAGCAGCTATGCGGTGGAACCGCCCGGGAGCGGGCGTCCTGCCGGCCAGGCTCCTCGCCCTGGCAGCCCCCGGCCCCACGTTCTCATCACCCCAGACCGGGAGTGTGACCGGTGTGGCCACAGACGGAGTCCTCTGCCGCCCCAGCACCTTGTGCCGGGGGCGGGGCCAGGCCGTGGGTGCAGGTCCCGAGGCCCGCCCTCCCCAGCTGACCCTCGAGCCCTCCGCAGGTGTCCCTGGACAAGGAGCTCATCGACTTTGGCAGCTACTTGGTGGGTGAGACTGGGACCAGGACGCTCACGCTGACCAACGTCGGGGGCCTGGGCGCCAGGTTCCAGTTACTTCCGGCCTCCGAGTACGACGAGCCGGAGGATTCGCAGTCTGGGCGCAGAACAGTGAGTTGGGGCCGCACACGTGCGCGCGGAGGCAAGTGGCTGTTAGCAAGCGCCCCGGCTGCGCGTGTGCCCCGCGTGTGTGCTCGTGTGTGCCTGAGCGGGTGCCCTGCGTGTGTGTGTGCTGAGCGTGTGCCCTGCATGTGTGCCCTGAGGGTGTGCCCTACATGTGCCCTGAACGTGTGCCCTGAGCGTGTGCCCTACATGTGTGCCCTGCGTGTGTGCTCATGTGTGCCTGAGCGTGTGCCTGAGTGTGTGTGTGCTAAGCGTGTGCCCTGCGTGTGTGCTCGTGTGTTCCTGAGCGTGTGTGCTGAGCGTGTGCCCTGCATGTGTGCTCGTGTGTGCTCGTGTGTGCCCTGAGCGTGTGCCCTACATGTGTGCCCTGAGGGTGTGCCCCTCATGAGTGCTCGTGTGTTCCTGAGCGTGTGTGTGCTAAGCGTGTGCCCTGCGTGTGTGCTCGTGTGTGCCTGAGCGTGTGCCCTGAGTGTGTGTGTGCTGAGCGTGTGCCCTACATGTGTGCCCTGAGCGTGTGTGCTCGTGTGTGCCTGAGCATGTGCCCTGAGTGTGTGTGTGCTGAGCGTGTGCCCTGTGTGTGTGCTCGTGTGTGCCTGGCGTGTATGCCCTGAGTGTGTGTGCCCTGAGCGTGTGCCCGGCCTGTGTGCCCTGTGTGTGTGCCCTGAGCATGTGCCCTGAGTGTGTGCCCTGAGCGTGTGTGCTCATGTGTGCCCGGCGTGTGTGTCCTGAGTGTGTGTGCCCTGAGCATGTGTGCTCATGTGTGCCCTGAGCGTGTGCCCTGCGTGTGTGCCCTGAGCATGTTCCTGAGCGTGTGCCCGGCATGTGTGCCCTGCGTGTGTGCCCTGCGTGTGTGCCCTGCGTGTGTGCCCTGAACGTGTGCCCGGCGTGTGTTCCTGAGTGTGTTCCTGAGCGTGTGCCCTGAGCGTGTGCCCTGAGCGTGTGCCCGGCGTGTGTTCCTGAGTGTGTTCCTGAGCGTGTGCCCGGCGTGTGTTCCTGCATGTGTGCCCTGAGCGTGTGCCCGGCGTGTGTTCCTGAGTGTGTTCCTGAGCGTGTGCCCGGCATGTGTGCCCTGCGTGTGTGTGCTTTGAGCGTGTGCCCTGCGTGTGTGCCTGGCGTGTGTGCCCTGCGTGTGTGCCCTGAGCGTGTGCCCGGCGTGTGTTCCTGAGTGTGCCCTGCGTGTGTGCCTGGCGTGTGTGCCCTGCGTGTGTGCCCTGAGCGTGTGCCCTGAGCGTGTGTCCTGCGTGTGTGCCCTGCGTGTGTGCCCTGAGTGTGTTCCTGAGCGTGTGCCCTGCGTGTGTGCCCTGAGCGTGTGCCCGGCGTGTGTTCCTGAGCGTGTGCCCTGAGCGTGTGTCCGGCGTGTGGTGTGTGCTGGGTGCTTCTCATCTTGGCGGCCTCTGCATGGGTCCCGTGGTTCTGTTCAGCGAAGGGCAGGGACCCTGCCTCTCCTCTGAGTGCCATATGACGTGGCCACACGGGTCTGGAGAGGAAGGGGCGAGGCCAGCCTCGTGTCAGCCGCACGGCTCCCACTCCCGCTCCGGCTCCGGCTCCGTGTGGAGCCCTCTGTGGTTGCCCGGCCTCTGGGGTGGTGTCAGCAGCCACAGGGCAGTGGCCAGGAGCAGGAGGAGCACGGATTTCCCAGGCGTCTCTGGGAGCTGGAGGTGTGGCAGGGGTGGGCTCCCCGGGCAGGCGGGCAGGCAGGGGGGATGGAGGAAGGAGGCCAGCTCGGGGTGGGGGGGTCAGGGCTCCGGGCGGGAGGTCCCCAGGGACGCAGGAGGCGCCAGCCCAGCCCAGATGGCGGGGGCTCAGGAGAGAGCCTCGTCTGCGTCTCTGCGTGGCCCCACCCAGCCCTGCCATGGCAGCGGGGCGTCGGAGTGGTGGGAGTCGGGCGGGGATCTGGCGAGAACAGCCGAACTCTGACTTTCAGAGCAGCCTCTGCACGTTCGAAGACAAAAGCGTTTACGAGAAGGCGGTCAGCAGTCTCTCTGAGGTGCAGCTGGACGGCAATGAGTCCTCTCCGCTGGACGCCCAGAGCCGGAAGGGGTCGGAGAAGCTGCAGGGTGAGGCCTTGGGCGGCGGCCCTGGGGTGGGCTGGCGCCCCCGCCTCACGCCTTCCTGCTCTGCTCGGGAGTCAGCCGGGGACTTGGCACCGGTGGGCTGATGGACAGGCCAAGAGGAGGCGGGCGCTGGCAGATGGGTCCTGGGAGGCAGTGGGATTCGGGGCTGAGGAGCCCGGGCGCAGGGCCCAGGTGGTGCTGGGGAGGGCTTCGAGTACAAGGGTTCCCGGGCCTTGGTCTTGAGTGACAGGCGGTGACAGGGAGGACTTGCACAGGACATGGAGTGGGCGGGAATTTGTGCTCACGCTGAAACCGACGGGAGACAAAGGAAGCCCGGCCGTGGACACGGGGCCGGGGCACCAGGGCCCTGCCTGCCCAGGGCAGCGCTGCCTTGGCCCAGGCCATGCCGGGTGCAGATTTTCCGGGCGTCTGTGAAGGCACAGGGTCTCCGAGGGAAGGCAGGGAAGCCGCCCCGCTCGCGCCGTCTCCTGCAGCGCCCCCACATCTGCTCTGCGCCGGATCCGGGGTCCCGGGGTGTGTGAGTCCCCACGGGCCGCGGCTGCATGTCCACCTCCAGGTCGGCGCACTGGCGCTGAGCGGACGCTGCCCTTCTCGGGCCGCCCGGCGTGAGCCGGCTCCCCTCTCGGTCTGCTCCTCAGGGCTGCTGCCTGCACCTGGCTCCCCCGGGGGCTGCGTCCAGGGCCAGGGCCGGGCCTCTGCCCCCTGGGGCGGCTGCCGGTGTGGCCTCCAGGCCGTGGCGCGTCTCCTCCTAAAGCAGGGTTCTGGGTTGCGATGTCTGCCGGTTTACCAGCCACTCCTTTCTGTGACCTACCCCTGATTCCCGGTGCCCTTGTTCGGGCAACCGTCTGACGAGACGTGGCCTTTCCACGGATGGACTTGCTGCTGCCTCTGAGCACGGCTGGCCTGCTGGCCTGGCCTGCTGTCTGCCCGTGGACCCACGTGTCTCTCCTGCTGACGGTGGCCTTCGAGCAGGGCTGGAGGCCAGCGTGCGCGTCCTCGCCCCCGTTCTTCCCGGACGCTTGCTGGCCTAGCTCAGGTCCTTTGCTTTTTGTATGAATTTCGGAACCCTCCCTTGCTTTCTCCAAGGAAACCGAGCGTGAGTGACACTGGTGTGGCGTGGAGTCCACGGAGCCACGCGGGGGGCCGTGACGTCTGTGCGGCCCTGGGCCCTGCAGTCGGAGCACAGCCTGGCTGCCGTTCAGCGAGGGCCTCCTGAGTGTCCCCGGCCACAGCTCCCGGTTTGCCGAGCGGAAGGCCCTCCCCTGGCTGGGCTGTGAATCCGGTCGGACGGCCGGGCCCTCGGGGCACCAGCTTCTTCAGTCACCGCGGGCAGTCAAGGCCGCGATGCGTCTTGCTCTGCACGCCTTTGCTTCTCTCGTTAAAATTTTATGTCCTGGCCATTTTCCTTTCTCTCTCCCCTCTGCTAACTAGAAAGTCCCCATCTTTGAAGCAGGCTTAAACCAGGGCACACCGCTTCCCACGGCCAGCCAGGCCGTCACGGGCCAGAGGAACCGTCCCGTCCGTCGCTGCCCGCGTCTGGTGCAGACCTGGGGCGCGGGGGTGGATGGAACTGGCAGCCGTGGTGTTTTCCTGCAGTCCAGGCCTCATGTGTGTGCGGCCCGAATGCACGTCCCCTGGGAGGCAGCGGTGACGGCTCAAGTACTGGGATTCTTGCCAGCCTCGTGGGAGACCGGGATGGAGCCCCTGGCCCCTGACTCGGCCCTGGCCTGAGGAGTGAAGCAGGGATAGGAGTGTGTGCTCTCCCTCTCCCTCTCTCTCCCTCCCTCTCCCTCCCTCCCTCTCCCTCCCTCTCCCTCACTCTCTCCCTCTCTCCCTCTCCCTCTCTCTCTCCCTCTCTCTCCCTCTCCCTCCCTCCCTCTCCCTCACTCTCTCCCTCTCTCTCTCTCCCTCTCTCTCTCTCCCTCTCCCACCCTCTCTCCCTCTCCCTCCCTCCCTCTCTCTCTCCCTCTCCCTCTCTCTCTCCCTCTCCCTCCCTCCCTCTCTCTCTCCCTCTCCCTCTCTCTCTCCCTCTCTCTCCCTCCCTCTGCCTCCCTCTCTCTCTCCCCCTCTCTCCCTCCCTCTCTCTCTCTCCCTCTCTCTCTTTCTCCCTCTCCCCCCTCCCCCGTCTGTCAGCGGTCACAAAAGGACAGGACTCAGAGGCTTCTGGACAGTGGAGCCCATGGCAGTCCCTGGGGTCAGCGCCTGCCCCCGCTTCTCCTCCGTCTCCCGGGCTGCAGCCTTTGGAATCCGCCGTGTGGTGAGCCAGTTCTCTGAGCAGGTGCTGGGGGGCACCCCGGCCTGCGAACGGCACCCGAAGGGCGCGCTGTCCGAAGAGCTGAGAGCGGGCGCCAGGAGGACCTGCGTGGAACTGGATCTGCCTTCTGTGAGTGGCAGAGGCTGGGGACACGCTGTCACCGTCACACAGACCAAGCCCGTCCGCACGTGCGCACGGAGCAGGAGCCAGCCCCTAGAAACAGACCAGCCATCGCAGCACTCAAATAAGAAATGTGGACTTCCAGGGCCGGTAGGAAACATCAGGATTTGCTTCCCGAAAGCTGTGAGCAAGTGCAGAGACCTAGGCGACCGAGGGGTTGCGTGGCATTGTGGGCTGGAGATGTTGCTAAGACACTGATTCCCCCAAAACAGACCGGATCCGGACAACACAGTCAACGCGGTCACCCAGCGGAGGCGGGGGCGGGTGTGCGTTGGCTGAGCGGCTGAAGTACAGCTTGGGACGCCCCCATCCCGGGCCCAGCTCCCCACGCACCACCCAGCTTCCTGCAGATGGGCATGGGAGGGAGACCCAGGGCTCAAGTGCCTGGGCCCCTGCACCCGCGCGGGAGACCCTGATGGAGCTCCTGGCTCCCGGCTTCCACTTGGCCCAGCCCTGGCTGTTGCAGGTTTTGGGGGAGCAAACCCCCAGACGGAATATCTGTCTCTCCCTCTCTCTCTCACTGTGCCTTCCAAGTAAATAAAACAAAAACTTCTAGAGGCCGGTGCTGTGACATAGCAGGTAAAGTCGCCACCTGCAGTGCTGGCATCCCATATGGGCTCCAGTTTGAGTCCCAGCTGCTCCACTTCCCATCCAGCTCTCTGCTATGGCCTGGGAAAGCAGTGGAAGATGGCCAAGTACCCGCGTGGGAGACCTGGAAGAATCTCCTGGCTCCTGGCTTCGGATCGGCTCAGCTCCAACCATTGCAGCCATTTGGGGAGAGAACCAGCAGATGGAAGACCTCTCTCTCCCTCTCTCTCTCTCTTCCTCTCTCTCTCTCTCTCTGCCTCTCCTTCTCTCTGTGTGTAACTCTGGCTTTCAAATAAATAAATAAATCTTTGGGGAAAAACTTCTGGAATAAGAATATGGCAATTAAAATGACATCTTAAGGAGCTGAAGTGTGGATTGACACTGCTGAAGAGAGCGGCTGAAGCAGAAAGAGGCGGGGCTACGGCGCAGCCGCTGAGGGCTGTGCGAGGTGGACCACGCCCACGCCGACGGCGGGAGCTGGCAGGGGCAGGGTAAAGCACGCTGCCCGGTGCCAGCCAGCCCGGTGCCAGGACTCGCCCAGGCAGAAGCCGCTGGCCCAGCTGTCACCGTGGTTACTTCTGCAGCGGCCACGACTTGAAGGCCCAGAGAGACAGGAGCCAGCCCTGCCCAGGTCAGCAGCAGTCAGGAACGATGGCCCAGGAGGTACTGGCTTGGCCCCTGGAGAGCTGTGCCATCCAGACATGGTGTCCAGGACTCCAGAAGCACCCTGAGGCTCTCCCCAGAGGCCTGGCCTGGCCGCCGAGGTCCAGCGGCTCTGACTCAGTGTGGCCGAGGGGCAGAAACCAGGTGAGGAGGCCTCTGACCTTCGCTTGTGCCTTCGAACTGCAAAGCCAATAACAAGCGACCTCGGGGTCGGCGCCGTGGCCTGGGCCCAGGTGAAGCCTCTGCCAGTGGAGCCAGCATCCCACGTGGGCACTGGTTCAAGACTCAGCTGCTCCACTTCCCACCCAGCTCCTTGCTAATGCTGCTGGGGAAGCATCGGAAGATGGCCCAAGTGCTTGGGCCCCGGCACCGCCTGGCAGACCCAGAGGAAGCTCCTGGCTTCGGCCTGGCCAGCCCTGGTCCTTGCAGCCATTTGGGGAGAGAGCCAGCAGGTGGAAAATATCTCTGTCTCTTCCTCTCTGTCTGTAACTCTGACTTTCAAATAAATAAATCATAAAAAAAGAAGTCAGACTTAGGGGCCCTCCCCACCCCAGTCCCTAACACCTGTCCCGAGAACAGGTGGCTCCACCTGCGCGCTGGTGCCCCCTGCAGGCCGCACCCCTGCCCATCAGCCCTTCCCGCAGCACCTCAGGGTCCTCCTCCTGCAGCCCCCACATCCCAGGTGGGCCGCAGGGAGGGACAGCCTGGCTCTGTGGGCTTGGGTGGCCGAGTCCCAGGCAGGCCCGGGCAGGCCCAGCCCCCTCACGTCCAGACGCCCCTTGTCTTCCAGAACCAGAGGGAGCATTTGCGGCCCCTGTGGTGACGACGATGCCTCCCAGCGAGGGACAGATGGAGATCACGCTGGGGGAGGTTGTCTGCTCGCGGCAGCCCCTCCGGCCCTAGCTGCTCCCGTGACCCACGGCCCCACTCCCAGGGGCTCTTCCAAGTGACCACAGCCAGGCTGTGCGGTGTCCCCCCACCTTGACCTGCAACCTCCAGGCACCATGTGGTCTCGGTGGCACCAGGCCACCCCCTAAGCTGGGCACAGGGTCCTGTGTGCCCTTGAGGGGGGTGGGAGGACTTGGAGCGGGGCTCAGACTGGGACCACACAGCGCTAAGTCCTCCCTGGCAGGGCCGGACTCAGGACCAGAGCCCACGTGAGGCCACCACTCAGCCCTGCAGGGCCGTGGCCCTCCTGAGGGTCAGCGGGAGGCACCTCATTGAGACTGTGGCCGGCTGACCGCAGGTGCCTGTCTTCCCACCCAGGAAACAGAGGGCGAGATCGGGCCCTTCTGCTCGGTCAAGGTGCCGCTCACCTTCAGGCCTGTCATCCCGGGAGAGGTCCAAGCCAGGTTCAAGGTGGTGTTTAAGAACCCACAGTGCCCGACGGTGAGTCCTGGTGCCGCACGCCGCCGTCGCCCTGTGTGCGGGTCCCCGGCATGCTCTGCGCGTGTGTGCGTGCAAGGCTGCTTGGCGGCATACGTGGTTGGCACATCACTGCACATGCAGGCACACACGTACAGGTGTGTGCTCACGTGCACACATGCATCGTGCACACGCGTGTGCAGTCTCACAGAGCAGCTCTGAGTCACTGGAAGCGGCTTTCTTGGTTTCTCAGAGGCTAAAGTTGTCATTCGTTTCCTGCCAGCGTCTTCACGCGTTTGTCGAGTTAAACTGTGATGGAGCCGTTAGCTGGACCACTGCACCTCCGCATCCCCCCCAGCCCTGTCAGCGCCTCCCACGTCCCGGCCGCGGCCGCCCCGAGCCCTGCGGTGTCGGGACCAGGCGTGCTCCGCCCTGCTGCGCCCCTCCCCTTTGAAGTTTTGTTTATTCTATTATTTTGTTGTTGGAGAGACAGAGACCTGCCCTCCGCTGGTTCACTGCCCAGAAGCCTGCAACAGCCGGGGCCGGGCCAGGCCGGAGCCAGGGGCCCAGCGCGCCACGTGGGTCTCCCCGTTGACCCTTCAGTTCCTGCTGACCCTGCCCACACGCCGTGGGCCACGGCTCTCACGCCCTTTGCCCTCAGCTCCCGAGTGACTTTGCGATGCTAAGTTCCCTGGCTGGGCGGCACCCTGTGTGAGAATCAGCCAGTCCGCCAGTCCCGCCCCCCACGGCCCCGCCCACCCGGCCGCAGGCAGGGAGGGGCTTTCGAGGATCTGACCCAGGAACCGTTACCAATGACAGCACAGGCGTCGTCCTGATGCCCACCATACTCCGCAGTGCAGCCCGGCGCCCACGCCCACGCCGCACCCGCAGACCCACAGGGTCCCTGCCGCCCACCCTGGGCCTGGATTGAGATTCCACTTCCAGCTCCGGCCTGGCCCAGCCTGGCTGTTGCAGCCATTTGGGGGTGAACCACGGACGATCTCTCTGTTGCTCTGACTTTTGAGTAAACAAGTGTTTAGAAAGAGAGAGAGAAAGGCTCACTGGGCCGTGGCCTTCCCAGGTGGAGGCCGGCCGGCCGTGAGCTTCCCCGTGTCGGCCACGGCGGTCTTGCTGGGGCGGGCCGCGTTGCTGAGCGCGCCCGGCGGTGCAGTTGTATTTCAGAGTCGTCGGGGTTGCCTTGGACGTGCCCGTCTGGGTGCCGAAGCCCAGCGTGGACCTGAAGATCTGCATGTATGGCCGTCTCTACCAGGACTCCATCCTCGTGCACACACGGTGAGGCCCCCCTGCCCGGGCAGCCGGCGTCCTGCACGTGTGGGGGTCTCAGAGCGGGAGACAGGGGAGGGGGTCCCAGCCAGGGAGTGCTGCCCTGCCCCGAGCTGGAAGTGGCGAGAAAGGAGCCGGCCCTGCCCACTGCTGGACCTCAGCCCTCTACGTTCATTCTGGACTCTGACCTCTGAGCCCTGCAGGAATAGTTTGGTGCGCGGGAGTCAGCAGGCGCCCAGCTGCTGCCGCCCAGGTGCTGGGCGAGCCCGAAGGCCCCCATAGTCCCTGGCAGGCACAGGAGACGCACAGGACAAGACGTGTCCCCAAAGGGCAGTCAGTGAGCAGAGCAGAGCAGGGGGCTCCCAGGGCTGGAGCCTAAAGGGTTTGTAGAAACGGCACAGGCCACGGGCAGGCCCTGCCCCCCCGGACCTGGGTGGAAGTCAACTCCCCAGGGTCTGGATGGTCCGTGGAAGGGGCGCTGGGGCCCCGGGCACGTCTCCACCCTGACCAGCGTGTCCGCGAGAACGTGGACGGCCTCGCCGTCAGCTGTGCACTGGGCACACGTGACAACACAGACTTGTTCCGGACTCTTCAGATGGCACCTGTTCCATGCGGGTTCTGCAGGCATGGCTGGAGCCGTGTGGACTGACAGAGAGCCCAGGGCCGAGCCCCGCCTGCAGGGAGGGGGACGCGCAGACCCTGGGCAGACGGGGCCACCGCAGCTCTGGCGTCAGCCAGCCCACGAGCGAGAACAAGAGCGAGCGGAGGCTGCGCGTTGGCGCCCCTCGGTCCTCGCGCCTGGAGGGCCCTGGACTCTCGGCCGCTTCCCGCGCCCTGGGCACGGCCTCACCCCTGTGTCTGAGCCGCCGCAGACGGCCCTGGGGCCGTTGGGCATGAGGGACCCGGGGTAGCAGACCCTGGCCAGGCTGCAGACACTTGAGGACCACCCAAGGACTCAAAGGAGGTGCCAGAATGTTCTAGAAGATCACGGAGCCGTGGCTGTGACTCCCGGCAGCCCAGGGACAGCTGCCCTTTGAGGCCGCCTTTCCCCTTTGGCCCCAGGATAAGGACGGGGAGCAAGAGCAGTGGGCAGAGGCTGATTGCCCAGAGCTGAGTGGGCGCTGGGCCCCCTTCAGGTCCGCCGGGCCACGGGAGGCTCACGTTGGGAGAGGAAGGCCCGGTGAGCCTGACGGAGGCCGCGGCCTGTGGGGGCTGCCGTCACTGACCAAGGCCAGGCTGTCCAGGCCTCCCGCGCTCCCTGAGCTTGTGTGGCAGGGACACGGAGAGTGGCCCCCGGGACTGGCCAGGACGAGGAGGGCAGGCCCTCCCACCCTGAGGCCCAGTGGGCAGCACAGGCCGGGTGGAGAAGCCCGAACAATCCTCAGATTAGGACCTCACGGCCGGTGCTGTGAGCGCCTGACCAGTGCCCACGCCCTGCCAGGTCGAAGGCCGCCCTGCGTCTGAAGTTCGAAGTGTGCCCAGAGCTGCGGGGCCACATGGAGCTGCTGCCCGAGACAGGCTACATCCAGGCCCTCTCGTCCTACACCGTGCAGCTCAAGTTCCTGCCCCGGTGAGCAGCCCCGGGCCACGCACCCACAGCTCAAGGTCCTGCCCTTTGAGCCCAGGAGGGCGGGGGGCTCCACGGTGCCCTGGTGCCGGCCGCTTCATCCTAGGCCACGCCCCCACACACACTGCCCCCGACTCCCCCAGGACACCAAGGACGTCCCGTGCCGGGCTAGGAGACCGCTGGCCCTGGCTTTGCTGGGACGTGGCGGGCAGTGTCCCCGGGTTCTGCACCAGGCCCTGTCCTCAGGTGTCCTGTCACCTGCTTGTCCCTGAGCTCCTTGCCAAGGAATCCTGTTTGTTCTGGTTTCTTTATTTATCTGTTTATTTATTAAAGGGCAGAGACAAAGGAAGGTTTATTTATTTATTTGTTAAGGGGACAGAGACTCCCCAAATGCCCACAGCTGCTAGGGCTGGGCCAGGCCAAAGCCAGGAGCCGGGGGCTCCATCCTGGTCTCCCACCTGGGTGGCGGGGAGCCAAGGACTTGAGCCGTCACTGCTGCCTCCCAGGGTGCGTGAGGAGGATGTGGGGGTCCCAGCCCCCGCTCCCCCGCCCTCCACCCCCACTGTGGTGGTTGGGCCACTGCTGCCCCAAGCCAGGGACAGGGACAGGGATGGGGCTTGGCCGGGAGCTGGGACCCAGGGTGGGAAATCTGCCTGTGGGCGTGGGAGGTGGGACCCAGGGGTGGGAAATCTGCCCGAGGGTGTGGGGGGTGGGACCCAGGGGTGGGAAATCTGCCTGTGGGTGTGGGGGGTGGGACCCAGGGTGGGAAATCTGCCTGTGGGCGTGGGAGCTGGGACCCAGGGGTGGGAAATCTGCCCGTGGGCGTGGGAGGTGGGACCCAGGGTGGGAAATCTGCCTGTGGGTGTGGGAGGTGGGACCCAGGGTGGGAAATCTGCCTGTGGGTGTGGGAGGTGGGACCCAGGGGTGGGAAATCTGCCCGTGGGCGTGGGAGGTGGGACCCAGGGGTGGGAAATCTGCCCGTGGGCGTGGGAGGTGGGACCCAGGGTGGGAAATCTGCCTGTGGGTGTGGGAGGTGGGACCCAGGGGTGGGAAATCTGCCTGTGGGTGTGGGAGGTGGGACCCAGGGGTGGGAAATCTGCCCGTGGGCGTGGGAGGTGGGACCCAGGGTGGGAAATCTGCCTGTGGGTGTGGGAGGTGGGACCCAGGGGTGGGAAATCTGCCCGTGGGCGTGGGAGGTGGGACCCAGGGGTGGGAAATCTGCCTGTGGGTGTGGGAGGTGGGACCCAGGGGTGGGAAATCTGCCCGTGGGCGTGGGAGGTGGGACCCAGGGGTGGGAAATCTGCCTATGGGTGTGGGAGGTGGGACCCAGGGGTGGGAAATCTGCCCGTGGGCGTGGGAGGTGGGACCCAGGGGTGGGAAATCTGCCTGTGGGTGTGGGAGGTGGGACCCAGGGGTGGGAAATCTGCCCGTGGGCGTGGGAGCTGGGACCCAGCGGTGGGAAATCTGCCCGTGGGCGTGGGAGGTGGGACCCAGGGTGGGAAATCTGCCCGTGGGCGTGGGAGGTGGGACCCAGGGTGGGAAATCTGCCTGTGGGTGTGGGAGGTGGGACCCAGGGGTGGGAAATCTGCCCGTGGGCGTGGGAGGTGGGACCCAGGGGTGGGAAATCTGCCTGTGGGTGTGGGAGGTGGGACCCAGGGTGGGAAATCTGCCCGTGGGTGTGGGAGGTGGGACCCAGGGTGGGAAATCTGCCCGTGGGTGTGGGAGGTGGGACCCAGGGTGGGAAATCTGCCTGTGGGTGTGGGGGGTGGGACCCAGGGTGGGAAATCTGCCCGTGGGTGTGGGGGGTGGGACCCAGGGGTGGGAAATCTGCCCGTGGGTGTGGGAGGTGGGACCCAGGGGTGGGAAATCTGCCCGTGGGCGTGGGAGGTTGGACCCAGGGGTGGGAAATCTGCCTGTGGGTGTGGGAGGTGGGACCCAGGGTGGGAAATCTGCCCGTGGGCGTGGGGGGTGGGACCCAGGGGTGGGAAATCTGCCCGAGGGTGTGGGGGGTGGGACCCAGGGTGGGAAATCTGCCCGTGGGTGTGGGGGGTGGGACCCAGGGTGGGAAATCTGCCCGAGGGTGTGGGGGGTGGGACCCAGGGTGGGGAATCTGCCCGTGGGTGTAGGGGGTGGGACCCAGGGGCCGGGCTGGGCACAGCTGGGGGACCTGCTGGAACCAGAGCTGCTCGTTGCTCTGACTGCGCCCCCCCCCCCCCCCGCCATGCCGCCGACTCCTCCCCGCCTGTCTCCTCGCCGGCATCTCTGACGCTGGGGTTTTTCTGTCTGGAGAACAAACTGTTTGTTAAATGGTCTGCATTCCAAGGGGATGTTCAGGGATGTGTTTCACTCTGTGTTACCTGACACGCGGCTGTGGAATGCGCGTGCACGTCTCCGGAAACAACTGCTGAACGTCCCTCAGCCGTCAGCGGGGCCCCAGGCGGCTCTGGCCGTCAGCGGGCCCCACGCGGCTCTGGCCGTCAGCGGGGCCCCACGCGGCTCTGGCCGTCAGCGGGCCCCCACGCGGCTCTGGCCGTCAGCGGGGCCCCACGCGGCTCTGGCCGTCAGCTGGGCCCCACGCGGCTCTGGCCGTCAGCGCCGCGTGGGTGAGCGTGGCTCGTGCCCCTGCCTTTCAGGCACTCCCTTCCAGAGGACGCACACAAGTATTTCGACCCCGAGAGCCGCGTCCTGGAGGCCCCGATGACCATATGGGTGGCTGACCAGGTCTGTGAGGGCACGCGCCTGGGGTGCAGGACTAGGGCTTCTCCAGGAGGTCGAGCCCTGCGCCCTCTGGGGGTGCCTGCTGCCCGCGCAGCCCCTCCACGGTAGGGAGGAGGGGAGGCTTCTGCTGGGTCTCTGGGTCCTGCACTGGGCCGGCCCGGGTTGTGTCCCAGTCACCCAACCCACGCATGCGTACACAGTGTGCCCCATGCACCATACGCCATGCACACAGACACGCGTGCTCACACATTACACGTGTGTGCCCACGGAGTTCCCCTCACTGGCACATGGGTGCATGCACAGCGTGGCTGCTGCAGGGACGTGGGCTCTGAGACGTGCGTTCTGGACACGGCTGTTGGTGGCGGGGCAGCCCCCACACTCCTGCCCTCGTGTCCGGGGCCTTTGTGCAGGGCGGTGGGGGGCTGGGAGCACACGCTTGCCCTTTGTGCCTCAGGTCAAGCCAGTGGGCTTCACCGTCCACGCCGTGGTCACCACCTCGGACCTGGAGATGACCCCCTCCCAGCTGGACTTTGGCCACTGCACCGTCTACGAGGCCGTCAGGGCCGAGATCGACCTCTTCAACCACTCGCTGCTGCCCCAGGAGTTTGGCTTCGTCGGACTCCCCAAGGTATCTCCCATCGCCAGGCCCCGAGGACACAGGGGACACGGCTGGTGGGGGACGGGGACGGACGCGGCAGCCCCTGCTCCAGGGCCAGACTGCCCTGCACACCCACATCCAGGCCCCCCCACCCCGCCTCCCAGCTGGTGCCGCTCCTCGGCCCCACGCCCCGGCCTGCCTCTCTCCCTTTGTCTCTCTGGTCCAGTGCACCCACAGGGCTCCTGACTCCACTGCCTGCCTTCCAGAACTTTCTCTGAGTGGCCCCTGAAGCCCGCCAGCCCCCAGGCTGCCCCATGTCCACTTGCACGCCCCGTGCGGCAGCCCCCGTGACCCTGGGCCCGGCTGCATTTCTGTTGCCAGTTTGTGGACATCCAGCCCAACGATGGGTTCGGGACAATCCTGCCCCTGGAGACCGTGCAGCTGGAGGTCACCTTCCAGCCCACGCGGGCCAAGGAGTACAGCTTCGAGCTGGTCTGCAAGTCTGAGATTAACCGGTGAGCCGCGTGCAGGGGCCAGTGGGAGGCGAGGGCCCAGTGCCCTGTGTGTGTGTGAGGGGTGGGGGGCACGTATCCCTCAGGTCACCGTTGTGGTCGCAGAATTCGGGTCTGTGCGGCTCCTATCTGGGTGCACAGTCCAGGGGCCACCTCTTGCTGGCGGAGTCCGCGGTGGCGTAGAGCGTTACGTGGCAGTGTCTGGGCCTCTCTGCGTGGCCCCTCCTCCCCTTCTAAAGCCTCCAGGAGTGACCACAGGGGCTCCTCCCTGATGGCTTAGACCCGTCCCGTCTCTTCCCAGACCCCTCCAGGCTCCAGGATTGAATGAAACCCCGCCCTCCTCACGCCGGCAGACTCTGGGCATTGAGCTGCATGGGTTCAGGCGTGTTTCAGTGCAGGGGTGTGAGTGAGCACGTGTGTGGGCGTGCGTGTGCATGTGAGTGCAGGTGGACTGTGAGTCCAGGTGTGAGTGAGCACGCGTGTGGGTGTGCGTGTGCACAGTGAGTCTGGACATGCGTGTGGATGTGTGAGTGTCCGGGTGTGAGTGAGCACGCGTGTGGGCGTGCGTGTGCACAGTGAGTCTGGACATGCGTGTGGAGTGTGTGAGTCCAGGTGTGAGTGAGCACGCGTGTGGGCGTGTGTGTGCACAGTGAGTCTGGACATGCGTGTGGAGTGTGTGAGTCCAGGTGTGCGTGAGCACGCGTGTGGGCGTGCATGTGCACAGTGAGTCTGGACATGCGTGTGGAGTGTGTGAGTCCAGGTGTGAGTGAGCACGCGTGTGGGCGTGCGTGTGCACAGTGAGTCTGGACATGCGTGTGGAGTGCGTGAGTCCGGGTGTGAGTGAGCGTGCGTGTGGGCGTGCGTGTGCACAGTGAGTCTGGACATGCATGTGGAGTGTGTGAGTGTCCAGGTGTGAGTGAGCACGCATGTGGGCGTGTGTGTGCACAGTGAGTCTGGACATGCGTGTGGAGTGTGTGAGTCCAGGTGTGAGTGAGCATGCGTGTGGGCGTGCGTGTGCACAGTGAGTCTGGACATGCGTGTGGAGTGTGTGAGTCCAGGTGTGAGTGAGCACACGTGTGGGCGTGCGTGTGCACAGTGAGTCTGGACATGCGTGTGGAGTGTGTGAGTCCAGGTGTGAGTGAGCACGCGTGTGGGCGTGCGTGTGCACAGTGAGTCTGGACATGCGTGTGGAGTGCGTGAGTCCGGGTGTGAGTGAGCGTGCGTGTGGGCGTGCTTGTGCACAGTGAGTCTGGACATGCATGTGGAGTGTGTGAGTGTCCAGGTGTGAGTGAGCACGCATGTGGGCGTGTGTGTGCACAGTGAGTCTGGACATGCGTGTGGAGTGTGTGAGTCCAGGTGTGAGTGAGCATGCGTGTGGGCGTGCGTGTGCACAGTGAGTCTGGACATGCGTGTGGAGTGTGTGAGTCCAGGTGTGAGTGAGCACACGTGTGGGCGTGCGTGTGCACAGTGAGTCTGGACATGCGTGTGGAGTGTGTGAGTCCAGGTGTGAGTGAGCACGCGTGTGGGCGTGCGTGTGCACAGTGAGTCTGGACATGCGTGTGGATGTGTGAGTGTCCAGGTGCATGTGTGTGTACATGTGTGGTCAGAGCATGGCCCCTGGGAGCAGGGACTGAGGAGGGGAGGGTGGGAGGGGCTGCTCTCCCACCGCCGGGGTCCCGGCCTCTGGTGACATCTCCAGGGCAGGGCAGTGGCACCACCCAGCTCCAGGCCTCCTCCCACCCTGGCCCCATCCTGCCTTCCTCTCTCCCCTCCTCCCAGCCCCACCCCTGCTACCAAGTTGAGGGGCTGCTCTGTGTTGACAGGGGCTGGGCCGCCCTGGTGAGGTCAGCCTGACCCCGGCAGCTGTGGCCCCCAGCCGCAGCAAGGCCGATGGCACCTGCCCCCTAGCCGCCCCGAGGGGCAGGAGTGGGCTTGTGGGTTTGTTTTGATGGGTGCAGATTGGGACCCACAGACCCAGCCGCCACGCCTCTCAGCCTCCAGGAGAGGGCCTTTGCCCGTGTCCGTCAGCCCATCAGCTGAGCGGACCTGAGGTTCAGACGGGAGCCATCTGGACAGGGTCACGGGTAGCTGACCGCACGAGGCCTGGTCAGAAGAGCAGCCAGGATGGGTACGGAGAGCCCTGCTCAGACGGAGCCCCCCCAGCATGCCCCCCCGCTCCCACACCTGCCAGTCGAGCCACACAGCAGGCCCTGCCCCCACCCCGTGCTGCCCTCCCTGGTGCCCCCACCCGTGCTTGGATACCCCTTGTGCTACTGGGGAAGCATCCAGAACAATCTAGAACGACCTAGAACACTCAGGGGTGTGCCTTGTTTTCACCCTGGTAAGAAGGCGTCAGACTTGCGGCCGGCAACTGCACCCCCCATTTGCATGCAGCACAGGGCGCCCGGTCCCTCAGCCACCTCCCAGAGCCTTGCTCGGCCGTAGCCTACACACCAGGGGTCAGGATGCCGCTGAGGTGCCCACGTCCCACAGGGCAGTGCTGGGGTCCAAGTGCGGACAGCTTCTGGTCCAGCTCCCCGCTGACACAGCCTGGGGTCCCGGCTGGGGCCATCTGGGGAGTGAACCAGAGAACGGAAGGTCTCTCTTTCCCTCCCCCCTGCCCCGCCCCCGCTCTCTCTGAGAGGCAGGTGATTGGCTCAGATGGAGGTGCTGCTGTCTCATAGCAAAACGCCCGGGGCCAGCTTCCTGCTGACAGAGCTGGGGCGGGGCCAGTTCCTGGCTTGGCCTCGGCTGGGGAGTGAAGCGGTGGATGGGAGCGCTCAGTCTCGTCCTCGCTTGCTGTGTCTTTGCCTCTCAGACAAACGTTTAAGACAAGAGGGAATGGCCAGCACCGCGGCTCACTAGGCTAATCCTCCGCCTAGCGGCGCCGGCACACTGGGTTCTAGTCCCGGTCGGGGCGCCGGATTCTGTCCCGGTTGCCCCTCTTCCAGGCCAGCTCTCTGCTGTGGCCAGGGAGTGCAGTGGGGGATGGCCCAGGTGCTTGGGCCCTGCACCCCATGGGAGACCAGGAGAAGCACCTGGCTCCTGCCATCGGATCAGCGCGGTGCACCAGCTGCAGCGCGCCAGCCGCGGCGGCCATTGGAGGGTGAACCAACAGCAAAGGAAGACCTTTCTATCTGTCTCTCTCTCTCACACTGTCCACTCTGCCTGAAAACAAACAAACAAAAAAAGACGAGAGGTAAAAACGGAATTGAAGACGGTCAGCTCGGTGTAAAGAACGCGTGGTGGTCAGCGTGCGCATTTCCTTCGAGCCTGCCCAGCCGCCCCCCCCCCCCCCGCGAGGAGTGCCTGGCCCTTCTGCTGGCTTCTCAGGCAGGGTGGAGGGCTCCACTCAAGCCCTCTGTTGTGTCCGCGCGCGTTTTCCTGGTCCGTGGGCCTTGCATTTTCTCTGCCTTCCAGACAGCGAAAGCGTTTGATCTTGGTCAAGTCATGTTTATTGATTTCTTTCAACGTGTCAAGCAACCGTTTGGTGTCATATGCAAGAAGTTTTCTCCTAACCAAGGTCACAAAGCATTGCTTGTAAAAATTTTGCATGTCTACAATTTTTAAAGGTTGATTTATCTGCGGGTTTATGTGAAAGGCGGAGTTCCAGACAGGAAGGGACAGCTCTTGCATCCGCCCGTCCCTCCCCAAATGGCTGCAACAGCCGGGGCTGAGCCAGGCCGAAGCCGGGAGCCTGGAGCTCCATGCTGGCCTCCCTCAGGGCGCAGCGGCCCAAGCACGTGGGCCACCTCCTGCTGCCCCCCAGGTGCGCTAGCAGGGAGCTGGATTGGAAGCGGAGCAGCCGAGACTTGAGCCGCACTCTGATGTGGGCTGCTGGCGTCAGCACAGCCGGCAGCGGCTGTCCTCGGCACGGCACCGGCCACCGCGTTTACGCCTGGGTCTCCAGTCCGTTCCCGTGGGGTGGGAGAGGCGAGACACGGTAGAGTCGCTGTTTGCATGCAGGTTTCTGTTATTCTGGCTTTGTTGCTGGTAAAAGCCCCCTCCCCAGAGTGAACCAGCAGGTGCAAGACCTCTGCCGGCCACACTGCCTTTGTCTCCCGTGTCTCCGCGGCTCCTCCAAGGTTTCCTGATGAAGCGAGACCAATCTGTCTCCCACGCACGGAGGGTTTGCTGGCCACGCCCCTTTGGTGTCTGTTGAGCGCCTCGGGTAACTCCGTGGCTGCACGTGGGGCAACCCAGTTTCCAGTGTGACCCGTTTCGAGGCGTCCCGGTCCCTGGGGGAGGCGTTCACGCCGCGTCCGGAGCCTCCGCGCTCCCCTCGCGCAGCTTGGTCAGGAGCTGCGCCTCCCGTGCGCCTGCTTCTCCTGAGCCACAGCGGCTGGCCCGAGGGGTCACAGCTTCCTCAGCTCTGCCTCCCGCCCGGCCCACGCTCTGTCCTCACACACCCAACAACCCTGGCGCCCGACCTGGGGGACCCCACCCCGAAGACGGCTCATGCCTGGCGTTTCTCTGCTGCAGAAATAAACCCACAGCCTGTTCTCTCTCCTCAAGCCCACCTGCTGGTCCCAGGCCACTCACTTTACTGCCCATCGTTGCAGCTGTGGACAAAGCACGCGTGGGTGCAGCTGGGCCTCCAAACCACATCACGCAGGGGACCAGGGGACCGGCCCTGCTGCCGTGCCCGGCAGGGTGCAGAGGCCTGGAGGGTCACACGCAGGTGCGACAGCTGCTCCCCGAGGTCAGGGACTGCGTTCTGCTTTTTAAAAGATCTGTTTATTTAGCTGAAAGGCAGAGTGACAGGGAAAGAGAGTTATACGTCTTCCATCTGCTGGTTCACTCCCGAAATAGCCACAACAGCCAGGGCTGGCCGGACAGAGCCAAGAACTCCAACCGGGTCTCCCATGGGGTGGCAGGGCCACATCCTCCACTGCCTTCCCACGCACACGAGCAGGGAGCTGGACCAGCAGCGGAACAGCCGGGACTCAAGCCAGCGCTGATACGGGAGGCCAGCGTCGCGGGTGGCGGCTTAACCTCCAGCACCGCGACGCCCACCCTGATTTCCGCATCCTGCACCTCGTCCTCGTGTCATCGCGACAGACCCGTGCCCGCACAGCAGAGGGTCCCGCTTCGCACGCGCCCACTCCGGACACTGGGAACCGTTGAAGGCGGAGCTTAGTGGGAAGTCCTAGCTGGAATCGCATATCTAGAAGACAGTTTGAAAATCAGTCGTCTGAGCTTTCTTTCCAGGAACTGAAAAAGAGCAGAGATGAAACCCAAAGAAAGGACAAGGAAAGACGAGCTCGCAGGCAGACGCTGATGAAGTGGGAGCCACACACGGACCAGAGAAGCCCACGCGTGTAAGTGCGGCGCCTGGCAGGGCCGGGCACGCAGAGGGGCCTCCCTCGGGCCCCGCACACATCAGCCAGGGCACTGCGGCTGCGGCTGAAGTGGACAGCTGCCTCGACACACAACCTCCCACCTGACCAGACCGGAAAAAACCAGACTGTTCAGGAATGGCACCCAAGATATAAAAGCATCCCACAATGAAAAATCCGGATGTTTCCACCAGTGAATTCTTGCAGACATTTAAAGAAAATGGAACCAACGCCGATCCTGACTCTCCCAGAGAACAGAAAAATCTGGGTGCCACTGTCCACATGGCCACCACCCCGGGCTGAGGGGGCCATTTGCAAATGCCCAGGGCGAGGCCCAGGGCGGACAGCACAGCCCACTCAGGGGAGGGAGCCAGGAGTCTGCGGCCAGGAGCGGCACAGATCCCATGGGCGCTGCACTGGGTCCTGAGTGAGACGGACAGGGAGCCGGGCGTTCCCTCCTGGGCTTCTCTGGGGGAAAGAAGCGATGGCAGATGGACGCGTTTTCTCAGCCACCTGTGCAGATGAACTGTGACCACCGTCCCCGCTCTTTGTCCAGGGCCCCCGAGTCATGGCGCTGACAGCCTCTGGCGGTCTCGGGAGGACCCTGGAGATGCAGCCCTGGGCGGGAGGCCACAGCTTTGCTTCTGGGAGCAGCGGAGACGAAGGAGGAGCCCGTGGGGCTCCCTGAGTCCCCCCAGAGCGCGGCACAGCGCGTGGTGCAGAAGGAAACAGGAGTTGAAGAACTGGACGGCCCACGAGGACGGCGCCAGCCCTGGGAGGGACTCCACCAAAACTCACCTCCACGCGCAGCGTCTGTCACACTGTCCGTGCTCTCGCTGTCCAATTCGGAACGATCACCTCAGTGACGTCTCCACTCTGAATCTTCTAGAAGATTTATGGGGGCAGGGGCCGGGGCCATGGCCAGCAGGTTAAGCTGCCACCTGCAGCACTAGTATCCCACATGGGCACCGGTTCCAGTCCCGGCTGCTCCACCTCTAATCTAGTTTCTTGCTGGTGCGCCTTGGCCCCTGCCATCCACATGGGAGACCCGGATGAAATGCCTGGCTTCAGCCTGGCCCAGCCCTGGCCGTTGGAGAGTGAACCCGTGGATGGAAGATTTCTCTCCCTCTATCACCTCTCCCTCTCCCTCTCCCTGGTTCCCTTTCCCTCTCTCCCTTCCACTCCAACTCTGACTTTCAAATATTTTTAAAAGATTTATTTATTTATTTGAAGTCAGAGTAACACACAGAGAAGTCTTCCATCTGCTGGTTCACTCCCCAAATGCCCACAACAGCCAGGGCTGGGCGAGGCTAAAGCCAGCGGCCAAGAGCGCCACCTTTGTCCCCCACATGGGTGGCAGGGCCCAAGTGCTTAGACCACCCCCAGCTGCCTTCCCAGGCCATTAGCGGGAGCCGGAGAGCTGGGACTCGAGTGGGCACTCTGCCATGGATGCAAGCGGCGGCTTAACCCACTGGCCACAGTTCTGGCCCAAGATCTATTGATGTGTTGGAAAGGCAGAGTGACGGACAGCCCTCTTGCATCCTCCCTTTCCCTCCCCATGTGCCTCCGACAGCCAGGACGAGGCCAGGCCAGAGGCAGGAGCCAGGAACTCCGTTTGGGTCTCTGATCGGGGCAGCAGGGGCCCAGCACTCAGGCCGCCATCGGCGGACGGCCGGGAGCATGAGCAGGAAGCCGCATGGGAAGCAGAGCAGCCGGGGTTGGAACAGGCGCCCTGAGAAGGGATGCGGGCACCCCACACGGTGGCTTGACCCCGCGCCGCAACGCCCACCCCAGCACTACTTTTTTTTTTTTTTCACTTATTTGACCGGTAGAGTTATAGACAGTGAGAGAGACAGACAGAGAGAAAGGTCTTCCTTCCGTTGGTTCACCCCCAAAATGGCTGCCACGGCCAGAGCTATGCCGATCCGAAGCCAGGAGCCAGGTGCTTCCTCCTGGTCTCCCGTGCAGGTGCAGGGGCCCAAGCACTCGGGCCATCCTCCACTGCCCTCCCAGGCCACAGCAGAGAGCTGGACTGGAAGAGGAGCAACCGGGACTAGACCCCGGCACCCATATGGGATGCTGGCACTGCAGGCGGAGGATTAACCAACTGAGCCACGGCGCCGGCCCCCAGTGCTGCTTTTTAGATCTCTGAGTATCTCATAGCCACCTCCTCTGCGCTGTCTCAGCTCTGGGCACCCAGCATGAGCACAGGGGTCAGGGTTTCCACTGTGCCAGCCTGAGCGGCGAGCGCTACCACTGCAGCTGAAGCCCAGGAGGCTCGCTGGACGCTGCTCCTGCCATCGCCCCCACTCCTGCCGGCCACCACCAGGCTGGACGCTGCTCCTGCTGGCCGCCCCAGGCTGAGTGCCGCTCCTGCTGGCCGCCCCACTCCTGCTGGCCACCCCAGGCTGAGTGCCACTCCTGCTGGCCGCCCCACTCCTGCTGGCCGCCCCAGGCTGAGTGCCGCTCCTGCTGGCCACCCCCACTCCTGCTGGCCACCACCAGGCTGGACGCTGCTGCTGCTGGCCACCCCAGGCTGAGTGCCACGCCTGCTGGCCACCCCCACTCCTGCTGGCCACCCCAGGCTGAGTGCCGCTCCTGCTGGCCGCCCCACTCCTGCTGGCCGCCCCACTCCTGCTGGCCACCCCAGGCTGAGTGCCACGCCTGCTGGCCGCCCCACTCCTGCTGGCCGCCCCAGGCTGAGTGCCACTCCTGCTGGCCACCCCCACTCCTGCTGGCCGCCCCAGGCTGAGTGCCACTCCTGCTGGCCACCCCAGGCTGAGTGCCGCTCCTGCTGGCCACCCCACTCCTGCTGGCCGCCCCAGGCTGAGTGCCGCTCCTGCTGGCCGCCCCACTCCTGCTGGCCACCCCAGGCTGAGTGCCGCTCCTGCTGGCCACCCCACTCCTGCTGGCCACCCCAGGCTGGACGCTGCTCCTGCCGGGCGCCCCCAGGCTGAGTGCCGCTCTGCCGGTCACCCCCAGGTGCTTCAAGCTGTCCTGCCGAGCCGTGGGGGTTCACCCACCCCTGGAGCTGTCCCACTACCACATCAAGTTTGCGGCCACAGCGCTGTACAGCACGTCGGTGGCCGCGGTCTACGTGATCAACTCACACCTGAGCATGAACTCGCTGACCCACTCGGTGCCGCGCATCGGCTCGGAGGAGCCCTCCCCGGTGGGGCCCACATCTTTCGAGTTCCTGCTGCCCCCGGACTCGCCCATCACCATCTCACCCTCGGTGGGGACCGTGCTGCCGGGAAAGGTGAGCAGGGCCCCGTGGCCAGCGGGGAGAAGGGGCTCAGACTGCCCAGGGGACCTGCTCGCCCACTGACCACGGGAATCCAGCCTGGGCATCAGCTGTGGGAGTCCACCTCGCCCTTCATCAGAGCCAAGCAGGGGCCAAGGGGGACCGGGACGGAGGAGGGGCCTGCAGACCGTGGGGCCAGCTGGCGTGGACCTCACAGAAGGAGGGCAGAGAGGCCACAGCACCCGTCTCAAGGAGCCCAGTGTTGGTGCCTCCACCCAGCACCCTGCTCCCCGCCCCGTCCCTCTGGTCCACACGCACAGTAGGGGGCTTCATGGTCCTGGGCTGCAGCCCACCCTGCCTCCTGCAAGGGCCACGTCCAGGCTGAACTCCCAAAGAAGGGGTCACCTTGAGGGGACTCGGGGACCATGGTTGGGGGCGCAGGATGCTCAGGTGGGCAGGGCCCGGAACCCACTGCCCTGCCGGCTCTGCCCACAGAGGTGCCTGGTCCAGGTGGCCTTCCGGCCCGTGCTACCCAATGATCTGATCCGCCAGGAAGCCCTCCAGACCCTGAGCAAGGATACGGAGTCCAAATCGGTGCCTGGGCGCGGGCGGGGCATGGGCTGGTTCTGGTGGGCCCTTCAGCTGCCTGGGCTGGAGTTTCCCAGGTGGCGAAGGCAGACTCCAGACTCCGGAGCAGCCTGCGGGGTGGGGTCTCCGTGGGGCCTCCCCTGCCCCCAGGACACCCCCCCTCCATCAGCCTTTGCAGGGGCCGGTTGGGGGCTGGGCCCTGGAGGAGCCGTGGGACCCCTGTGGGGCCTGCTGGCCAGAGGGCAGAACCCAGGGCGGCCCCACAGCCAGCACCTGCTCACAGCTCCGGAAAGACACCATCACCCAGAGGAAGGAGTTCCGGAGACAGTCCCTGGCCCCGATGCGCCTGCAGGGCCGCGACCGCTACCGGGCCTCCATCTCCCACAGCCTGGGGCTACAGAGGCAGGAGCTCAAGGCCAGGTGGGCCCCTCTGACGGAACCCAGCCCACCCCAGGGAGACTGTTCCCCCACACAACACCTGCAGCCCCGGCTGGTTCAGGTGCAGCTAGATCCAGGAGCTCCCCTCCCTGGGCCTGGTGTCCCCAGGAGCAGCCGGGGAGGCTGGTGCCCAGACCACGGCCTTCCGAGCAGAGACGTGGCTCTCAAGTTACAGGACAAAGGCCCCTGCTCTCCTCCCTCTCTGCCCATGGAGAGGCCACCCCAGGAGCTGAGAAGGGTGGGAAGCCAGCTGGTCAGATAAAAGGGGACAGCCGTGGCTAGGACCCAGGGTGGCCCTTCAGCCCAACACCCGGAACCTCCTTCCCCAGAGTACTCCCTCCGGGTGGGGGTGGTCTGGCTCCAGCCAGGGGCCAGGGGCCAAGCCTCCGCGCTGCGGGCAGGTGGGAGGGCAGGGGCCCGTGGGCAGCGTGCCGGCTCCATTGCAGTGCCGAAGAGTTCCAGGCTGCCCAGGCCGCGCTGGCCAGGGCCTTCCAGGGCAAGTTCAACAAGTTCGTGGTTCCCTGTGTGGTCGCCAGCGGTGACATCAAGGACAGGAAGGGAGCAGAGCCCCTGACCTTCAGGTGTGGAGTGTGCGGGCTAGGAAGGGCCAAGTAGATCCAGGCCTGGGTGGGCACAGGGCCTCCTGGCTCCGCCCTCGACTTGCCCTCGCCCCCCAGCCCCCACAACACCCTGTACCTGGAGCTGTGGTGCCCAACGGTGGCACCGCCCATCGTGGTGACGTCCGACAAGGGCAAGACCGTCTTCAACTTTGGCGACGTCGCCGTCGGTGAGTCCCCCTGGGGTCCGGGCAGGGCAGGGCTCTCCCTGGGGCCGGGGGCCGTGCCGTGACCGCGGCCTCCCTGCCCGTCCCAGGACACCGCGGCATCAAGAAGGTCTCGATCCAGAACATCTCCTCCGAGGACCTCGTGGTACCGTGTCCGCGCCGGGCCGGGAGCGGGGGGCCTGTGGCCGGCCCACACAGCTCAGCGCCCCTCCCAACGCCGGCCCCAGGTGGAGTTCTCGCTGCTGAACCCCGACGGCCCCTTCGTCCTGCTGAATCCCCTGAGCAGGCTGCACGCGGGCGAGACCCAGGCCCTGGTGCTGTGCTTCTCCCCCCACGAGAGCACCCTGGTGAGTCCCGAGCTCCCCTGGGCCACTGCACCCAGGCGCCCCGGCCGCCACCCTCCTGGGCCCCGGCATCGCGGAAGTCAGAGGCCAGGAGCCAGGCACTGGGTACACCCAGACAGGGCTGCCCGCCACCCTCTGGCTGATGCTGCCCTGGCTAAGGGACGTGGCCTCCTCAGGCTCAAGAAACGCTGGACGTGGCTACCAAGAGAGGCACCCTCACCCTCACCCTCCTGGGCACTGGCGTGGCACCGCTGATCACGTGCTCCGTGGACGGCGGCGTCCTCAACATGGGCTACGTGATCGCCAGGGAGTCGGTGTCCTCGACCTTCAAGGTGACCTGCCCCGGCCTGCAGGGGCCAGCCGTGCCCAGCTAGCTGGAGAGCCAGTCTGCCCCCCGCCCCGGCCCCTCCCGCCCACCGTAGGGCCTTGGCAGAGCTCCCTTCCTCGTGTTGCTGCCCTGGGGGGCAGGGGTGGCCGTCTGTCTGAGGGACGCCCGCCTTCTCACCCCCCAGATGGGGTCCCGGAGGCTCAGCTGGGGTCAGGGACAGCGTGCCGTCCAGGGGGAGGGCGTGCCCGGGAGGGCAGGACGGCGGCTGCCCACCAGCCCGGGAAAGGGCTCGTGAGGTCCCCACCGCCGCTGTGGCCAAGTCGCGGACACTGACCGCGGGCAGGGGCAGCAGGGGGGCCCCGTGACGCGGGCGCGCTTCGCAGCTGCAGAACGACTCCTCGCTGCCCATCAAGTTCTCGCTGCGGCTGGAGAGCCTCTCGCCCACTAGGGCCCAGGACCGGCAGCAGCTGCCGCGGTTCCTCGCCTCGCCCGCCCAGCGGACGGAGGTCGTGGGTGAGCTGCGGGCGCCGGGAGCGCGGGCAGGGCTTTGCGGAGCCGCAGGGGGGAGAGGCGGGGCCTGGGAACGGGGCGGGGCCCCGGGAGGGGAAGGGCCATGGGCGAGGCTGGGTTGAGGGGAAGGCAGGGCCACGGGAGGACAGGGAAGGGTAGCCGCTGAGGCCCTGTGGGAGGGGAAGGGGCAGACCTCGGGAGGGACCTGGGGAGGGGGCGGGGCTACGGGCGGAGCCCGCGAGGGGAGGGACAGGGCTATAGGAGGGAGGGGCTCCATGAGGGGAGGGGAGGGGAAGTGGGCGGGGAAGGGGTGGGGCCATGAGAGGGAAGGGCCAAGGGCAAGGACGGAGGGAGGAGACAGGGCACCAGGCGGGGAGGGGCGTGGCCCTGGGTGGGGCGGGGGCTACGTGGGAGGAGACTGGACCTGGGAGGGGAGTGGACAGAGGGCGGGGCTCAGCGGTGGCGGGGCGTGGCCTTGGAGGGCGTGGCTCTGGGGGGGACAGGGCCCGCAGGGGTCGGCCACGCCCACCTCGGCTCCGTCACAGGCTCTCAGAATCTGAGTGGGCAGAGCGTGTTCAGCGTGGTCCCCGCCGAGGGCGTCCTGGAGCCCGGCAGGGCGCAGGACTTCACGGTGACCTTCAGCCCGGACCACGAGAGCCTCTACTTCTCCGACAGGCTCCAGGTGGTGCTCTTCGAAAAGGTGGGTCCCGCCCGGCCCCCCTTCCCCGCGCCCCCCCAGGCGGCAACTGAGGGAGGGGCTGAGAGCCGCGGGGGCGTTCGTCCCCAGAAAGTCTCCCACCAGATCCTGCTGAAGGGCGCGGCCCGCGAGCACATGATGTTCGTGGAGGGCGGAGACCCCCTGGACGTGCCCGTGGAGTCTCTGGCCGTGGTCCCTGCCTTCGACGCGGAGCACAGGGAGGGTGAGTCCCCAGGGAGGGTCCCAGCCCCGCCCCCGCCTGGCCCCCAGCCCCGCCCCCCACCTGGCCCCCAGCCCCGCCCCCCGCCTGGCCCCCAGCCCCGCCCCCTGCCTGGCCCCCAGCCCCGCCCCCTTCTGGCCCCCAGCCCCGCCCCCGCCTGGCCACCAGCCCCGCCCCCAGCCCCGCCTCGCCCCCAGCCCCGCCCCCCTTCTGGCCACCAGCCCCGCCCCCGCCTGGCCACCAGCCCCGCCCCCCGCCTGGCCCCCAGCCCCGCCCCCCGCCTGGCCCCCAGCCCTGCCCCCTGCCTGTCCCCCCAGCCCCGCCCCCCAGCCCCGCCCACCGCCTGGCCCCCAGCCCCGCCCACCGCCTGGCCCCAGCCCTGCCCCCTGCCTGGCCCCCAGCCCCGCCCCGGCCTGGCCCCCAGCCCCGCCCCCCGCCTGGCCCGTGCCCAGCAGTTCCCAGCCAGGCCCTCCCTGCGCAGACACGGAGGAGCTAAAGCACTTGCTAGTGACCTTGGACTACGTCCAGTACGACACAGACCCGTCGGCCCCACCTGCCACGCGGGAGCTGCAGGTGGGCTGTATCCGGACCACCCAGCTGTCCCCAAAGAAGGTGACCACAGCACCGGCCTGGCGGCTCCCTGGCCTCCCCTGGCCCCTCCCGGCCTTGTCCAGCCCTGGGCAGGTGGGGGGCAGGCTCTGCTCGGAGCCGGGGGGTGGGGGAGCGGCCCTGTCCCGGCCCAGCGTGCCTGGCGGCCAGCCTGCAGCCCCCCCCCAGATGGTGGAGTTCAGCCTGGACAGCGTCGCCGCCCTGCAGCACAAGGGCTTCTCCATCGAGCCCTCGCGGGGCGTGGTGGAGCGGGGCCAGACCAAAACCATCAGCGTCTCCTGGGTGCCGCCTGCCGACTTCGACGTGGGTGCCTGCTGCCCCTCCCCGGGAGGGGTGCGGTGGGGAAGACAGGACCCCGGGGCCGGCTCAGGACCCCTGCTCCCTCCCCCGTCCTGTTCCAGCCGGACCACCCGCTCATGGTGTCAGCCCTGCTTCAGCTCAGAGGGGGCGTGAAGGAAACCTACAAGGTCATCTTCGTGGCCCACGTGGTGACCAGCCCCTGAGCCCCAGGAGCCTCTGCACAGAGTCCCCGGGACCCTCGCCCAGGGACCTGGCGTCCGGGATCCGCCGCTGCCCGGCCCCACAGCCAGGGCCCCCTGGTCCCACAGACATGGCCACTGCTGCCGCCCCGGCCCCAGCGGGCCCAGGGCCCAAGAGCACCTGTGCCCAGATCCCACCGCAGAGCCGCTGGCCAGGCCGGTCCTGCTCACAGACAGCCCCTCCACGGAGCTCCTGGGGCCCCGGCCCCACCCGCACAATAAACCCTCGCGAGGCAGCGCGTGCGGCCTGTGTCTGTGGGCGACAGCGGCCGACTTGCTGGGGCAAGCAAGGAGAGGGAGGACAGGGCCCCCGGGGCTCGCCCTGAAACACGGGCCCCCTGGAGGCCACCCTGGCCGCCTGGGTGCTGCGGTAGAGCAAGGCGGAGCTTGAGGCTGGCCCAGACCCAGAGAAGCCCAACCAGGGGCAAAGAGGGCGGGGGCCTCCAGCCCCCCAGGCCTCCCACGCCTCCCAAGTCCCGGGACCCTTGACAGCCCCAGGCACAGGCCAGGCGCCCTGCTCACCCACCCACTCCAGCCAGAGCCCAGCCAGCGTCCAAGGCCAGGTCCAGCTTGGGAGCTTGCGCTTGCTTTCATCCGAGGGGAGTCTGGGCTGTTCTGTGCCCCAATCCCGGAACCCCTGAAGGCCCAGGATGTGGGTACTGAAGAGACAGACACGTGGTGGGGGGCAGGGAGAGAGGGAGAGAGACAGGGGGAGAGAGGGAGAGAGACAGGGGGAGACAGGGGGAGAGAGGGAGAGAGGGGGAGAGAGGGAGAGAGACGGGAGAGAGGGAGAGAGACGGGGAGAGAGGGAGAGAGACAGGGGGAGAGAGGGAGAGAGACAGGGGGAGAGAGGGAGAGAGACGGGGAGAGAGGGAGAGAGACGGGAGAGAGACGGGGAGAGAGGAAGAGAGAGACAGGGAGAGAGGGAGAGAGACGGGGAGAGAGGGAGAGAACGGGAGAGAGGGAGAGAGACGGGGAGAGAGACGGGGAGAGAGGGAGAGAGACGGGGAGAGAGGGAGAGAGACGGGGAGAGAGGAAGAGAGAGAGGGAGAGAGACGGGGAGAGAGGGAGAGAGACAGGGGGAGAGAAGGAGAGAGACGGGGAGAGAGGGAGAGAGACGGGGAGAGAGACGGGGAGAGAGGGAGAGAGAGACAGAGACAGGGAGAGAGAGACAGAGAGAGAGACAGGGAGAGAGACAGAGACAGAGGGGGGAGAGAGACAGAGAGACTCCATCCAGTGGTCCCCAGTTGCCCAAAACAGCCGGGCTGGGTCAGGCCAAAGATGGGAGCTGCAAACTCAACCCAGATCTCCCATGCGCACGCATGTGGGCGCACGACCAAGTCTTCTCCGTCCTGACCGCTGCTTCTCAGCGTCTGCGTGAGCAGGAACCGGAGTCGAGAGCTGGAGCCCAGTGCCAAGCCCAGGCGCTCTGATGTGGGCCGCAGGGGGGAGAGAGACGGGGAGAGAGGGAGAGAGGGAGAGAGACGGGGAGAGAGACAGAGACAGGGGGAGAGAGAGGGAGAGAGAGACGGGGAGAGAGGGGGGAGAGACAGAGACAGATGGGGAGAGAGAAAGAGACAGGGAGAGAGAGAGACAGGGGAGAGGGGGGAGAGAGACAGGGGAGAGAGACAGAGACAGAGAGAGACAGAGAGAGACAGATGGGGAGAGAGAAAGAGACAGGGAGAGAGAGAGACAGGGGAGAGGGGGGAGAGAGACAGGGGAGAGAGACAGGGAGAGAGAGGGAGAGAGAGACAGAGGGAGAGAGAGAGACAGGGGGAGAGAGAGGGAAAGAGACGGGGAGAGAGAGAGAGAGAGACAGAGACAGGGAGAGACAGGGAGAGAGAGAGAGAGACAGATGGGGAGAGAGAGGGAGGGGGAGAGAGAGGGAGAGATGGGGAGACAGAGAGAGGGAGAGAGAGAGGGAAAGAGAGAGACGGAGAGAGAGATAGAGACGGAGAGAGACAGATGGGGAGAGAGAAAGAGAGACAGGGAGAGAGACAGAGAGGGGGAGAGAGACAGAGGGAGAGAGAGAAAGAGACAGAGAAAGAGACAAAAATAAAGAGGCAGAGACAAGAGAGAGACTGGGATAGAAAGGGAGAGACAGAGACGGGGAGAGAGAGAGAGAAATAGAGACAAGAGATATAGGGAGAGAGAGAGGGAGGGAGAGAGAGACGGGGGGGTGGGAAGGGGTCTTCCATCCACTGGTTCACTCCCCAGATGGCCGCAGCGGCCGGAGCTGGGCCGCAGGCGTCCTGACCAACACCAAGACAAACGCCTGCCCTGAGAAGGGGGTCCCATCAAAGGCAGCCTGTGCCTGACCAGAACGCACCCCGGACATTGGCATTTGTAAGAGGCGTTCCAGGCCTGTGGCAGCATTGGGAGTGACCTCCTGGGTCACCCAGAGGGCAAGATGGCTGGGGTCCCTGAACCACACCATGCTCTGCGGGGTGCTGCCTCCCCCCGCCCTCCTGCCCCGCACAGCACACGCACCAGCCCTGGACAGCCACCAGGGGGCGGTGCTCCTGGCCGCCTCCCTGGGCAGTGCTGATGGCCGCCAGGCCTGAGTGCCCGTCCTCGGCCCCAGCCCCTCAGTGCCCGGGGATCCTGACCCTGGAGCAGGCTTTGGCCAGAATTCTCAGGTCGGCCTAGGAGGGGCAGACTCGGGACGCTGGCTGGCTTTCTGGGGCTGGCTCGCCCGGCAGCTGGGGGAGCAGGCAGGGCCCGCCAGGTCAGGCCTCGGGAGGAGGCGCGTCTCCTGGGTATGACCCTCTGGGCTGCCACGCTGACTGGTTTCTGTTTTCTGAGACGCAGAGATCTTCCATGCACTGGGTCACTGCCGAAATGCCCGCTGGGGCCAGAGCCTGGGCCCGGAACCCAATCCCCATCTCACCCACGGGGGCAGGGACCCAGCCTCCCCAGGGTCAGAGCAGCAGGAAGCCGGAGTCGGAGCCCAGCGTCAGCTCGGGCCACTCTGTTCTGAATCCGGAGCTGGCCCAAGCCCCTGCCCCAGTCCCGGGTGAGGAGAGAGCCTTGGGCCCCCAGGCCCCGGGCCCAGGTCCCCTCCCGCTCACTCCGCTGGTCCTCCCAGACCAGCCGCCCTCAGCTCTGTGCCCCGGCTGCTGTGCTGCCTCGGCCTGACCACAAGGAGAGGGCAGCGCGGGCCCAGCAGGGGCTCCAGCCTGGCCGGAGACGCCAGGGTCGAGTCCAAGTCCGTCGGGCTGCAGGCATCCGAGGTGGGGGCTGGGCGTCCCGGCCACACCCAGCCCAGCTCTGCCCGGTGAGGGCTCCGCATTCGGCCCCCCGCGACACCCCGCCTGTGCCCACCCACTGCGAGCTGAGCGGCCGTCCGGAGGGCGGGGCCGCGGGGCGGGGCATCCGAAGGCGGGGCCTAGGCTGAGCGCGGTATCTAGAGGGCAGGGTCAAAAGCGGGTTCGGACCCTGGGCGTGGCCCGGGGCCTTGGGGCGGGGCTTCCCGCGGACAAGGCCCGAACACGCGGTCAGGGTGCTGGGCGGGGCCTGCAGCGGGCGGGGCGCCCTGGAGCCACTCGGAGGCGGCCGGGTCCGGTGTCGGCGCGGAGCATGGCCCCCGGCGGCCGCGGGCTCTCGCTGCTGCTGCTGCTGCTGCCTCTCCTGCTCCTGCCGCAGGTGGGTCGGGCCGCGTGCTGGGTTCTGGCAGTGCGGGGCGGATCTGCGCTCGGGCCACGGCGCGCCCGGGCTCACTCCTGTCCCCACAGGTGGCGCTCGGCTTCGTTGACCGCCGCTGCGACCCCTCGGACCAGTAAGTCGGGTTGGGGGGTGTCGGGGCCCGGCCCGTGGGGGGGCTCGGGCAGTGAGGAGCCCGGCCGGTGCCCCGCCTGCTCCAGGTGCCGCCGTCCCCGCAGGTGCCCGGCCCAGGCCCGTTGGAGCAGCCTGTGGCACGTGGGGTAAGTGGAGGCCGCCCTGCGGGTACGCAGAGGAGGGGGGTTTGTGTCTGCCAGGCCCCCTCCCCACCTGGCCGCCTGGATTGTGCCTCCTCCCAGGCTGCCAGCAGGAAGGCTCTGGGGCCCTGGGCCCCCGAGCTAGGCCTCGGCACAGCCGGCAGCCTGGGCACAGGGACGGTGCAGTCGGCTGGGACAGCATGTCCTGGGAGTGAGCCCAAGGCCACCCCCCGCCAGCCCTGGAGAGACAGCCGGACTACGCGGGCGGCTCTGGCAGCTCTGGCCAGCCGTGCATCTGCTGGGCTGGGCCTGGTGGCCGAGGGTCAGTGCCGGTGGCCCTGCTCCCCGCCAGGCTCACCCTGCTCGCTGTCTTCCTGCTGCTGCTCTGCGGGCTCACGGCCAGCTGTGTCCGGTTCTGCTGCCTCCGGAAGCAGGCTCGTGTCCAGTCTCACTCGCCGTCCGCGTGGCAGCGCTGCCACCTGACAGTCATCCGTGTGGACAGCGACAGCCCTGTGCACAGCACGGTGACCTGTGAGCGCCTGGCGGCCCTCGGGGGGGCCGGAGGGTGGAAGCCAAGCCAGCTCCCCAAACTCACCGTGGCTCCCTGCAGCCTACAGCTCCGTGCAGTGCCCACTGGGCATGCGGCCACCTCTGCCCTTTGGGGAGCTGGACCTGGACCCCCTGGCTCCTCCTGCCTACAGCCTCCACGCCCCCGAGCTGCCACCCTCCTACGATGAGGCTGTGAAGATGGCCAGACCCGGAGAGGAAGACCTGGCTCCCTCCCAGAAGCCCAGTGCTCTCCCCGGGGTCTCGAGCCCCTAGACCACTCCAGGGGCCCAGCGCCCAGGGCCCTAGGCTTGGTGCCCCCAGGAGGGGATGAGCCATCGGACCAGAGCTTGTGGTGCTGGGGCCTCGAGCCAGGGCCCCCCGGGGACATGCTGCACGTGTCACATGTGGCCCCGCTGCTCTGTGACGCCTGCCGGGCCCTCTGTCCACAGCTCCCGGAGGCTGCTGCCTTCTCAGCCCTGGGCCCAGCCCAGAGGTCCCCGCCCGGAGATGGCCCAGGGGCCTGAGCCCAGGGAGCTCAAGGCTGCGCCAGCCACGGCTTTTGGGAGAGAATAAAGTTTACACCTAACTCGTCTGGGCCTGCACGGAGGGCGCTGGGGCTCCAGGGCTGACGAGGGGTCTCCGGCAGCCACTCCCATGCCACAGGGTGAGCTGCCGCCCCGGCACGTCCCGTCTTCGGTGTCCAGAGCCCAGAGCTGGGCAGTGGTGGTGTCAGGTGTCGCAGAAATGACCGGGGCCGTGTGCCTGTGACGTCCCCAGGAGAACCCTCCAGACCCTGTCAGCACCACCCCTGCCTGCCAGCCCGGGGACAGAGGCACACGCGTGTCAGCCCGGGGACAGTGAGGCACACGCGTGTCAGCCCGGGGACAGTGAGACACACACATGCTAGCCCGGGGACAGTGAGGCACACACATGCTAGCCCGGGGACAGAGGCACACGCGTGTCAGCCCAGGGACAGGCACACATGTCAGCCCAGGGACAGTGATGCACACGCATGCCAGCCCAGGGACAGTAAGGCACATGCATGCCAGATGGGGACAGAGGCACACGCGTGCCAGCCCGGGGACAGTGAGGCACACACATGCCAGCCCGGGAACAGGCACACGTGTCAGCCCGGGGACAGTGAGGCACACGTGTGTAAGGCTGAGCTCTGACCTGACGCAGAGCCAGGGCGGGGCAGGGTGGGCAGAGGGCCAGCAGCAGCTGTTCCTGCTGGGCTTGCAGGTTGCCACGCCCACGAAGGCTGGGGGCAGGGGCCAGGCCAGCGGCCTGCAGGGCCCAGACACGGCTCCCAGCACCCCCTCACCTGGTGGTCGACGGTGCACACACCTGCACGCCTGCCACGCTCACCCTGAGGCCCCGGCCCCGCCTCGGCGAGTTCTGGCCAACAGCCTCTGCGCTCAAAGCCGCCCTTGGTTCTGGGTGATCCGGCAGAAGCCATCCCAGTTTGTGTGTGGGGCACAGCGCCCCCCAAGGCTGCAGCCCCTCCCGCGGGCTCAGGCTCTTCCCCTCACGCCCGAGGGAGGCCCTGACCCAGGCCTGCACCACTGCGGTCCACAGCCCTGGCCACAGAGGCCGGCGCGCTCCTGGATCTGCTCGGCTGACCGGCAGGGGCGCCACACCCGGCCTCACTAGGGGTCCCCTTGCCCCTGTGTCCTGGGGAACCTGCCCTGTCCATCCAGCTGGCCGCTTTGCAAGGCACACAGTTGAAAAGGGAGGTCCCGGGGGCTGGCGCTGCAGCATAGCGGGCTAAGCCTCCACCTGCAGTGCCAGCATCCCATATGGGCGCCGGTTCAAGTCCCGGCTGCTCCACTTCCTTGGGCCCCTGCTCCTGCGTGGGAGACCCGGGGGAAGTTCCTGGCTCCTGGCTTTGGATCGGCGCAGCTCTGGCCGTTGCAGCATCTGGGGAGTGAACCAGCGGATGGATGGAACGCCTCTCTCTCCCTCTCTCTGTCTGTAACTCTACCTCTCAAATAATAAGTGTTTAAAAACAACAACAACGGGCCCAGCCCAGCCCCAGGCTTCCGGAACAAGGTGATATGTGATGGGTTCTCGGGGTGGAGGGCTCTGCCCAGCAGCTTCGAGGGCCAAGGGCGCAGTGTGGGGGCCTGAGAGGGAGGCCAGGTGACAGCCAGCTGTGTGATGGGACGGTGGGCACTGCAGGCGCAGGTGGGCCAGGGCCAGGCCCGGAAGCAGAGGCCAGGGCACAAGCCCAGAGAGAGCAGGTGGTGGGTGCCGGGGCCCAGTGGGGAGCAGCCGTGGCCAGGCCAGCACGCCGGCTCCCAGGGAGAGGCTCCCATGGCCCAGGGAGGGGCTTGGAGGTGGCCTGCAGTGGCACCCAGGGCACAGTCCAGCATCTGCCCCTGCCCACCGCCAGCGCGGCAGTGGGGTGCATGGTGAAGAAAGCATCCGGAGGGCCGCCCCCACCCCGCCCAGGCCCTCAGACCCCCAGGCACTGCTCAAGTCCTCCCTCTGCCTGGCGGCCTTGCCCAGCCTGTCTCTCCCTGGGGGCCCACAGAGGCCCCTGGGTGCAGCCGCATTGGGCTGGAGGCAGCAGGCTGCCCTGGGCAGAGCACGTGGCTCAGTGGTGGCAGCTGAGTTCGGGCTGGACCGGGCTGCCCAGGTCCCTGGGAAACCCTGCTGGCCTTGTTCTGGGCCCCTCCCCACTGAGCCCCTTACTAGCCTGGACATCCCCTCACCGTGAACACGGGCACTGCAGGCCGGGGCAGAGGCCCGGAGAGGGGCTGGCCGCGGGCTGGGGCCCGCACTCACGCTGTCCCCCTCACTGTTCCTCACCCGAGCTGACCTCCCAGCCTGCCTCCCTCGGCCAGGGCCTCCGGGCTGCTCTGGACTATCCCGCGGAAGGCCCACCCTGGCCAGCTGGCACCCGCCCCTCCCATCAGCGAGCCCAGTGTCCAGCCTGGGCAGCGCTGCAGAGCCTCTCGACGGAGCACACCCGCGCAGAGTGGCTGTGGGCGCACAGCTCAGGGAGGAGGGGGCAGGGCGCGGGCTGGGGGCCAGAGGGCAGGCACAGGCGCCATCTGGGAGACCAGACCAGGTTCCTGCAGGCTCTCGGGGCCTATTCTGGGGTTCCTGCTGAAACCTGAGCTCCTAGCCGGCCCCAGGGGCAGCGTGCCCAGGCGGCCAGTGAGGTGGCGCCCTCCCCGACACCAGCAGCCCCTCCTGCCCGGTCTCACTGACCAGCGGGCAGTGGCACTGGCCCACAGGCATGAGAGCCGCCAGCCTGCACAGAGCGCCAGGAGACGGCAGGTCTGTGGGCGTGGGGCTCCCCTCACCTCCCCACACCACCCGGCTGCCCTCACTCCTGGACGTGGTCCTCGGGGTCACACACACACTCAGTCCCGCACCGGGCCCCCACAAGTCTGAGCAGGTGGGGCGCTTTGTGTCCCCAGCCAGCCCAGCCCCGGGCCCCCAGAAACTTCTGTGCAGGCCCAGGCCAGCAGATGTGTGCTGACGGGGGCAAGATGGCTCCAGGGGGCGCCTGCAGCCTGGGTGTCACCCGGCCAAGCCCGGGACAGTGGCTACAGGAGAGAAGCCTTCGTCCTGGCTCTCTGGCCCCGGCTCCCCGGCTGGGGCGTGTCCACGCACTGAACTCCTTCCCTCAAAGGCACAGGGTTGGAGGGGTCACAGCATCCGGCCCCCCACCCACGTTGTCTGTCCCTGGACAGAGCCCAGCGGGTCACACCAACACCAGGGACTGCGCCGGCCTCCTCTGCACAGCCCCTGATGCGGCCCAGCAGTGGACAAGAGGCTCACTGCCCCGCATGCGTGACCTCTGCCCACTGGCCCTCCTGGCTGTGGCGTGTGGTGGCCGCGTTCACGCCCCGACCATGGTCGCCGTGCCCCGGCCCGCGCCCGGAGCCCTCTGCTCGCTCCCCTCTCGCCAGCCGGCTCCGGGCAGCTTTCGGCTCTTCACGGGCCTGGGAGCCGTGAAGTTCTTCATTTTCCAATCAGGAAAGCATACTTTCTGTAAGCAGAAAGGGGCGGTTAAGCCGCTCCTCGGGACGCCAGCATCCTACATCCCGGCGCTGGTTCGAGTCCCGGCTGCTCCACTTCCGATCCAGCTCCCTGCTAACAGCCTGGGAAAGCAGCAGAGGACGGCCCAAGTGCTTGGGCCCCTGCACCCACATGGGGGACTGGGTGGAGCCCCTGGCTCCCAGCTTCAGCCTAGCTGTTGCAGGCACCCGGGGAGGGAACCAGTGGATGGAGGACCTCTCTCTCCATCTCGGTCTCTCTTCCCCTCTGCCTTTCGAGCAGATGAAAATGAACGTACAAGCATCAAAACACACATGGCTGGGAAGCTGGCCGCTGCTCGGGGCACACAGCCCGCGTCGGGCGTCGGGCGCTTGCCCTGAGCCCTGGCTCCTTCCCGCAGACCCAGCTCCCTGCTAACTCGCACCCGAGAGGCAGCAAGTGACGCTGAAGCTCGCGGGCCCCAGCCACCGGGTGGAGATCCAGGCGGAGCTGCTGGCCGCCGGCTGCAGCCTGGCCCAGCCTCAGCCCTTGCGGCACCTGGGGAGTGAGCAGTGTCTCTCAGCCTTCCAAGCCAAAGCGGGAAATAAATACACAGAACAAAATCAAACCCAGAAAATCAGTGTTGGGGCAGGTGGAGAAGTGGAACCTGTGCGTGTGCGGGGAAGTGGGCGGTGCGGCCCCTGGGAGAACAGCGGGGCCGGGGGCACCCGCTCGGAGGAACGGACACCAGGGTCTCCAGCCGGCGTCTGCCCACGACGTCCACAGGGGCTGTGTGTGCACGGATGCACCGGCCGGTGAGCAGGCTGCGGGCTGCAGTCACAGTCGGCCTTGACAAGGTCGACATCAGAGAGATGACATCAGAGGGATGACATCACATCACAGGGATGACATCAGAGGGATGGCATCAGAGAGATGACATCACATCAGATGGACACCAGACGTCGGCGCCCTCTGGCTGCCGTGGCACCGTGAGCAGCCGCAGTGCTCGGTGAGGCCAGCCGGGCACAGAGGGCAGAGGCACCCGCTTGGGCTCAAGTCCTGGCTCTGCTCCGGCCCCTGGCTTTCTGCCCACGCAGCCAGGGGAGCAGCGGCGTGTCCACCTCCTCGGGCTGTGGGGGCCTCTGGGAGAGGACCAGGGCGCGGCGCGTCTGCTCCCCTGCCTCGCTTTCCTGCTCCATCTTCCAGAGAACCAAATTTCCTGAATCACGGGGCAAGCGGGTGGTCCAGCCTGCGGTGGGCGCTGTGCTGTGCGGCCAAGCAAGCTCTCTCCGTCTCTCCCGGGGCGGGTCGCCGCAGCCCCCGCCCCTCCCCCATCTCTCCCGGGGCGGGGAACCCGCAGCCCCCCGCCCCTCCCCCATCTCTCCCGGGGCGGGTCGCCGCAGCCCCCGCCCCTCCCCCCGTCTCTCCCGGGGCGGGGTCGCCGCAGCCCCCGCCCCTCCCCCATCTCTCCCGGGGTGGGGTCGCCGCAGCCCCCGCCCCTCCCCCATCTCTCCCGGGGCGGGGTCCCCGCAGCCCCCGCCCCTCCCCCATCTCTCCCGGGTCGGGGTCCCCGCAGCCCCCGCCCCTCCCCCA